AGCAAACCAGGAATGAATAAGGGTGAACAATAAAGAAGAATAGGTAGGATGCAAGAGTTCATGAACTGTAAGAGGAAGGGTTGAGTTATACCCAGGTGTCTTAACTTCTTAATGTGAAATGTCAGGCTAAGACATGGGAAGTCCAGGAGAAATCAGAAGAGGGAATAAGTCGAAGATACTTAATTTCTTATATGATTCCCATATCATTGTCGCCAATTTTACAACTGTCATGAGAATCGATGACTTCTTTTAACTGTCTTTTACATCTTAAGCTAAAATTAACGGTTTGACATTTAGAAGGATTCAGTTTAAGGCCGTTAGACTCAGAACATTTGTTGACTCCCGATAGAAAGCTATTTATTTTGGTACAATCTAGCTGGGAGTTAACAGCCATTGAAACCGTTAAATCATCAGCGTACTTCACAAAGTTTATTTCATTAGAGTGAGGCAAGTCATGTAAGAAGAAAGAAAAAAGAAAAGGAGAAAGGACAGCGCCTTGAGGGACACCAGCTTCAGTGGGCAATGAAGTGGAAGACTTCCCTTTATACACGGTGTACCGCTTCCTATCTGAGAAATAAGAATGTAACCAGTTAACAGCCCAATATTCTGTTTGACTAGCAGCAAGTTTATTTAATAAGATGTCCCTAGGGACCGAGTCGAAAGCAGATGTATAGTCTAGGAAGGCAACACGAACAAATTTAGCCCCCTTGTCTAGACTGGAAGCCATGTTATGATATAAGACGGCAGCTGCATCTAAAGTGCTTCTAATGGGCTTCTAGGCAAATTGTTTAGGGTCATTAAAGGATTTAAGCGAAGATACAAGACTAAGTAAAAGTAATTTCTCCATAGTTTTCAAAAAAGGAGAGTTAATAGCAATGGTTCTAAATTTGACACATGCTCCAGTGGATGATTTAGGTATGGGTACAACTTTAATGTCCTTCCAAACGGCAAGCACAATATTATCGGAAAAAGATTTGTTAAAAAGATCAGTAAGAGGGTGACACAGAATATCAGAACATTTTTTAAAGATAATACTAGGTACATAATCGGGAAATAAGCTCTGGGAAGGGTTTAGAGACTTGAGGCACTTTTGAACATCATTTGTGTTAAAACCTGGAAAGGGGCTGTTATTAACACTAGTGACGCTGGGAAGCATGGCATTTGAGGGAGAGTAAATAAAAGATTTGTTAAGAGTACACACATCAAAAGAATATGGAATATTGTTTATCTGCTTACCACCAGTGATTTCCTTAAATAGTTTCCACATATTAGAAGGATTTTTGCAGGATATAAATTTCTGGTTATATATTACATTCAACCTCTGCATTTCAGACTTAATTAAGAAGTTAGTTCTTTTTACACCACTTTTATCTCTCATCTTATATAATTTTTCCTTCTCTCCACGAAGCTTTTTAAGTTGAGGAGAGGAGAAACGGTCAAATTTGACAAACAGTGTAATGTAAGCAGTATCTACTTCAACAGTTTCCCCAGTAGTCAAGGATTCTAACTGAAATGACACTCGTTCACATACTACCATTTTCGAAGAAATGAAAGCATTTACAACCAAGGATTGCTTTGGGCCCTTAATACCGAAGCAGCCAGACAGCTTAGCATCTATCAATGTAACGTCTGAACCATTATCCAACAGTGCATAAGTCTCTACCGAAGATTTCGGTCATTTCACCTTAACTGATAATACTCCTAAATAAACTTGTGGGTTTTCCAGGGGTCTAAAGGTGCTATTACAATTAACCGAATTCCCCGGTTCGTTTCAGTCCTCAGAAGTGGGTGCACATCGGTTGAACCAATACTTCCTTTGTTTGTCGCCTTACAATTCAACTTTGCCTGCCCAATCTATAAACAGCTGAAACACAGCCGCTTCTGTTTTGACATTTTTACCCTCTCTACGGGTGACATAGCAATGAAGCGATTGCAATCGCTCAATTGATGCGTGTTATGGCAAACAATACACTCATCCTTTCTCGTTGTGCCTTGAGCCTTCACTACAAGTGCTTTATTTATATTCAACAGTTCCTTAGGTCCTACCTTAGAATGCAAAATGCTGGCGAATTCGCCCATCGCCTGGTTGACACGGTCTTTTACCAGTTTCAGAATATCATCGAACTTTGGCTCAAAACCTTCATCCTCTATACAAGAGCTTATCTTCACCCACTTCTTTTGCAGTCGAGTAGGTAGGCGTCTAGCTGTGACCTCTAGGACGTAACCTGAGTTCAGCTCGCTCATGTAATTTATCGAAACCAACGCATTCTTGTAAGTCATCAGATTATCCAAAAACTCAGAGGGTGCCTTGAAGTCATCTTGTAATTGGCTACCAATACCCTTAACAGCCTCGAATAATTTCCTTACAATCACCGATGTTCTTCCAAATCTTTGACGCAGCATAATCATAGCCTCATAGTATCCTTCGTTTGGGGGCATGAACTTACAGCACTGTATAGCTCTTGAAGCAACTCTAGTGCAGTACCTCATCAAATACATTAACTTCATTTCATCATTTAATAAAAAACTACCCAACATGACTTCCAACTGCTCTACAAACTGTGGATAGTCAGCCGTGTTTCCGTCGAAACACCGAGGCTCATATTTAGGCAGCTTAAAATTCCTATTACCCCTAGATGGCTAAATATTAACATCAACTATATCATGCTTAACATCAAACACATCGTTACAGGTAACAGACCAATCAACATGACTTACTTTCCTGTTTGCTTTCAAGACGCTTTGACCTAGGCATCACTGAACTTGACGAAATTCCAGAAAAGTTCCAGATAATACTTGTTCAAAGAAGACTTGACCGGCACCAGGAAGGACGAACGGAAACTATCCAAACACTGTCAGAAACTGTCAATCAAGTCTTATAAACCGTCAATGTCCAGCTCTTGCTACGCTGGGCCCCATGCCGTCCCTCGAAGATTTTCAGAAACGCTTAGTATTAACCTACACAAAAACCAAAACACTGTTTGGCGACTCAGGAATTCTAACGCCAACATATAACCAGCAATACTGGCATTACAGACTAAGGTCTAAGAACAATTATTACAACAATAAATCACGATATTACTTCTGACAGTCTTTTAATCTTCCTTCTGAACAGCGACCGATGAGACGATGACTGGTGGATTGATGACTCCGCGAAAATATGGGGAAGTTGATTTTGAGCAAGCAACCATGAATTGATCGTTTAATCTTCAAATACATTGACATAATCCATTCCACAACAACCAGGAATATCATTGGTGATAATAGGCAGCCTTGTTCCACCTTCATAGGCTTCTCTGTGTTCGCGGTTGTGGATCACTTGACATTGTGACATCACCATACAGCTGTTGAATGAGATTGAAAAAAGTTTGGAATACTCCGGAGAGTTGAGACTGTTTTCAAGTTACTTCGCTGTCATCTCTGTTGAAGGCTTTTTCAGAGTCGATGAAGTCGAGGCAGAGATTTGACTATCATTCTATGATCTCTTTAGTGGTGGTGCCCGAGAGTCTCGATTGAATACGCACATGACACTTTTATGCTGGATTCAGCCTGCTCTTGTGCAGCTTTAGTCTCTGCAGGAATAAACGACCAAAAATATTGCTTGGCGAAGATGGGAGCAAGAATCAACGCCAGTTTTCGCATGTTCTTGAGTTGCCTTTGTTTGGTGGTTTGGCAAGTTATTCTTTCTTTCAGTAAGCACATACTCTTCCTTCCCTACAGACGTTTTGCAATAGTAGCGTCAGCGTGTCTGCTGAGGACTTTGAGTCTGTTACCAGCTCTTAAGGGAAATGCATTCCGTTCCTGCTGAATTTACAGTTTTCAATATCTTAATCGCTTTCAAGAATTCTTCCTGTGTTCTAGGATTCAAGCTCGCTGTCATTTCTATGTCTGCTGATGGTACTTACAGACAAGTTATAGGGATTGGTCAGTTAAGGGTTGTCCATCTTTGCACTGGGTCAAATTCTCTATCATTATACCCCTCTTCTTGACTAGCCACCAGGTATCCATTGAGAGCCGCTTCTTGTTGCGTCTCTTCCTTCTTCCTAGAACAACTGCAAATGTATCCTTGAACAACACCTTCAGAGAGTTCCAATGTTTTTTCATACAGGTTTTCTGAATGATCTCACGTGGTGTTTCCTAATTTGATGAGATCTGACCTGCACTGAAGGTATCGCATGTGGTTTTCTTCTTCAGTTTATGAGTGCTGAACGTTAGTTGCGGTCTGTCTCCACATGTTTTCAAGGCTTTCAGCATGACTTCCTGAGTTTCTCTGGATAGACGATGGTCTGAATCCATATCTGCTCCCTTTCTAGACTTTGTGTTCATCAGCCTAGCTGAGTCCACTCTTCCTCGATCTACAGTGAGATGCAGTCTCTTTGGTTTGTGGCCCGTCAGGCGAACTCCGTGTTGCCTTGTTTATATCCTCGCTCTAATACCCTCTGTCTCCAGCCACGTAGTTATCGAAAGAGTAGAAGTCTGAGAAGAGTGACTCCTTATCGTTCATTTCACTAAGAGCTTCTCGACCCATCATGATTTCTTTTCCTGTATTACCTACTTACTTGTAGGTTCGCGTCCGGATTGTCTATAAATATTCGGATATCACCATTCGGGATCTTATCCATGACGTTTTGCAATTGTTTGTGGACATTTTCATTTTTCTTCTGTTTTGAATCGTTTTCAGACTCGTAGCGTTGGCTAATTATAACTTTCCCTCTTTCCATTCGAATGTTATTGTAATTATTCCCAAACACTGGGTTGCATTTCTTTCATTAACAACGAGAATGAGTATGAGACTTCCATTCTCTATTCTTAATGAAGATACGCACTTTACTTAGTGCTGCTTAATTTCGTTTACTTAATCTGTAGAGATCACTCGCAGCTTCTCGACAATTAAGCCTCGGAACTACAGTCGATACCAGTCATAACAGTGTTTGAAACAGTAACTTTAGAGTGGGAAAATTGTATTTGGAGGACTTTTCTCTGGTTGGTTGCTGTGATACATGGAGAATGCAGTACCAGAATTTGCTCGTCGTTTGTATAAAGAATGGCGTGATTTTGTGGCCACGCCGATTGACGGAATCGAACTTACTTTGAATGAGCAGGACATGACAGAAGTTCAGGTATGTTCATATAATACATCAACATTTTTAAGGCTTTGCTAGATGGTCCTGTAGGAACACCATACGATGGTGGGAAATTCCGCCTCAAGATAGTCATTCCAATGCAGTACCCTATTGAACCTCCGAAGGCGTATTTCTGCACGAAAATATTTCACCCAAATATCGCACCAACTTCTGGAGAAGTGTGCGTTAATACATTAAAAAAGGATTGGAAGTCAAACCTTGGCCTGCGACACATACTTTTAGTAAGTTACATTATGCCACTGATTTCTTAGACAATAAGGTGCTTGCTGATAGAACCAAATCCTGAATCAGCTCTTAATGAAGAAGCTGGGAAGCTGTTATTAGAAGATTACAATGAATTCAGGTCTCAAGCTCGGCTTCTCACAGAAGTTCATGCCTTCTGGCATATTCGAGAGCAGTCCAAAAACAGCAGTGGAAAGACTAATGCTACCGACACGTAAGTCATTTTTACTGTGTACACATCAAAACACTAATACACCTGCATAACACCTATTATCAGCTGGTTATGCAGGTGTATTAGGAAGACAAGCTTTATGGTGGCCATAGCAAATGGACCAGTCTTAGAGGAAGACTACTTTTTATGAGTAACTAAGACGCAGAACATAACTCTTCAAATACATTTCACTCATCCTAAAGCCGCATTAAAATGTCCTGCCACCCGACTCAGTGCTCAATGTAATTATTAACACTGAGTCGTGATTCTTTAATATAGTGATCAGAAATGGTTGTTTTCATTAAATAATACTATACAGTATGTGAGTATCCACGAGTTCCAAAGAACGCATTGATCCTTAGTGATATCAGTTATTGATAAAACGAGCAGATTACACGGTAACCTGTGATCTGCCTATTCATATGGTATCTATGTCCAAGGACTCATCGAAATCTGAAGACATGTCTGAGCATGACTGCAACAAGTCTATAAGAACTGGATATGTTTTAGGGTATTAGTCTAGGTACATTGGCCAGTGGTGGCCAAACTAAAACATGGCATCAATCCATGAAATCCTTGACAGTTAAACTGAGTCAGGTAGGGAGATGCAGACTCCCGGGTTGGGGCCCTCGGGACTCTAGGAATCAATGGCTGGAGACAATAGGTGACATGGCTCAAAATCGTTGTCAATGGCGCAGATGTATTCAATCTCTGTAATCTTTCATATTCCTTTCTACCATTACCCATTCTGTTTCACTCTTATATTTGTCAAACTCTATTGATTCTCTTCACTCATCTTCTTGTCTACCTCTGTGTGCTATTTAGAAGGTGGCAACTCGAACTGCTGCACTTCGGTGCCAAGTTCTATGTTGAATCCAGACAGACAACTGTCTAACGTGTTCTGAAGTCACGCGAGTTAATGTGCTACGTTGTATATGAGCTAGCTGGCGAAAGTTGCACGAGGTCACATCAAACAATTGTGCTGTCACACCCGATATAAGCGTGTGATCTTCTTCAGTCACTTCTAAGGTACGTAATCAAATTATGATTAAGTTAATCGTGGGTATTAGTTTTAGAGTATAATAAAGAGAATGATTTGGATTAGCTGTTGTTTTGTGACTAAATTAAGATTAAGTTGTATTATTGCAGTTAGGGTAAGCACTATCCTTGTACACAAGTTTAAAATTAATGCTTAAATGTGTGTTCCGATGCCCCTATAAATTTGCAGGTTGTTTTAGTCGTAATGCTCATGAACATAAGGGCAAATATAGTTTCCTGAATGCCATGTGCGAGAATTTGGAAATTTTCTTTGTCAAGTGTAAGATGATACGTGAAAATTTTTCAACTTTTGGGTTGAAAACGACAGGTTTTGTAGTTCGGAGCTTGAAATCGCTTTGTTCACATTACTTTTTACGTTTGCATTCAAAAGTAGATAAGTACGTAATTATCGTGTCTTAGGAAGGTCTGCTGCGACCCTGATCGTCTAAGTATATTGTACAACACTCAATAAGGCAGACATTGAAGAAAGCGTTGCAGGTTAAACTTTTGTGCACATTTCTGCGTGGTTAATTCAGTCATTCAGAACAGTTTTAAAGATATTTACTATAATTATTCATTCTATGTGGGGAACATTTTTGTAATTTTCTGTATATATCAGCAAGCTTGCTAATATATTATAATGAAATAGTTTTCAGTTTGTTATATGTTTTTTGCTGGAACAGTAGTGCATTTAGATATGCGTTAGAACTGCGATTCAGCATAGAACTTTGCCTCAAAGTGCAGAAGATCACGTTATCACTCAACATATAGCACACAAAAACGGTATTCAAAAGAACTAAAATGAGCAGAAATTTACGAGAGAAACTAGTAACAAGGAAAAACATGAGGAATGGATCTAGGAGTTTACAAGGAGTGAATGCATGTGGGCTACTGAGAACTATTTTAAGTTATATAATTAATTGTCACCACCCGCTATATCCTAGCATCTAGAGGGCAGTTTATAAATGCACGGATGGGTTGTAACAAAAGTCAACTAAAACCGATCGTTTCTTCTCTTCCAACAAGAAAAGGTAGAAGCCTACCTATACATTGTTTGCAGTTATAGAAACTCAACTACCCACAAGCACTTATTTACTTACGCCTCTTGTATTAGCTCAATATTGTATTTTGTTTCTCCTAATTGTGTTTAGGTCAGACTTGCTTTTAAGTTCATATCCAGATTTTTATGATGATAATAGGCATTTACACATGTCTCTGAGAATTTTCCTTGAAGCCTTTGTGATAAATGATTGTGTTTTCCGTATTGCTGTTTCAGGTCATCCAATTCATCTGATCGTACACAATCTAAAGCTGCTCAACATAATGCTTCCTCGATTCGGAAAGCTCTCAAAAGACTTTGATCCATGGAAAACATGATATTTCTTGTTATGAAGAGGGTTGTATCGTGTTTATGTCACTTTGTGCATTTATGTAAATTATTTCGAATTTAGTGATTGCTGTGATTAACGTCTAGTTGCTGTCATTTTCACACTAAAAGGGAAATTGACTCAGCAAGCCTTATAGACTAGTTTTGTCCTACAAATGAATGGAATTCGGGGCAGCGTGAGAAGCAATGGGGAACTATGAGCAAGTCTTTTGCTTATGCCAGAGTTCTGTTTCACAATGTGCACCGTTTAAAGGACCGAAACATGATCCTGAGAAGTAGTCTGGATTCGTTCAAACGGACTGATAGTTGAAAGCAGTCAGAACACTAATTTGTAGGGACTCCTAACTGGAGTCTTTAAATAGGAATCCTGTAAAGAATATATTGAACCATCATAAAACAGCTAAGCTCTTGGCCTGAACAGATAGTTTGAGTCCATCAGTCGACATGTTTGTTTTTTCAGCAGATTTGTTTTGTAGCCTGAAGTTGGTGGTGGGTTCGATCTCCGTTGGTGTCATGCTGCCGAATGTTTCTTGTTCTACTTATTATTGAGGCTATCACTGTAAGGACAGTAAGTTCGTTGAGTAGTGGTTAATTTTTTTTGATCTTGGCGTTGTCGACATGTACAGCTTTCAGTACAAGAGTGATGCGGTTGTACAGAAACCTCCCTATTAGTGGATTACAGTCGTCTATAATATAAGGTTATGAATTTGGAGTCATGATATGCTTTGTAGGACTGCTGGTAAGTCTTGGCACCCTGGAGATTAGAAATTTGCACTTAGATGGCCGAAACAGTAAAGTTGTAGATATCTGTCATGACAAGACCTATTTGAATGAAAGTAATGCGACTGCTGACAGTCAGCACGACTGGACGTCTATTCATATTTAACTACAAGTTATCCTCATCGCTTTTCCCTCTATCATCTCATGTAATTGTTCGAATCTAAGCATTATCTTAAACAGCTGTTTGTCTGTCTGTTTTCGACATAGAACTTTGCACAAATGTGCGGAAGTTCAAGTCGCCACACTCCGTGTAGCACGCGAAGCAAGAGAAGAAAGTACAAGAAAAGCATAATAGAGACAGTAAACAGAGGTGTGAGACAAAGGAGTAAAACGAAGAACAAAACAGTTTCATTGGAGATAATAAGTCACAAGGAGTGGATGCATCTGCGCCACTGAGAACGACTTTGAGCCATGTTACCAATTGTTTCCAACCATAGATTTTTACCGTCCCGAAGACCGCAGCCTGGAAGTCTACACCTTCCTGCGTGGCTTAGACCAACTGTTGTGGATTTCATTGACTGGTGCCAAGTTTTTGTTTGACTACTATGAGTGAGTAAGTGCGGAGTATCATAAAACAACTCAGATTCAATTTTACTGCATTTCTTGGGAAAGTACGCGTCAACAACCACGTGCATACAAAGGCATTTGGAATGAGACCAAAGAATGTAGCGGGCAGAAGAAATTCTCAAGTCCCTGTGGAATAGCAACACTATTGAAAGTATTGCAGTTACATATAAGAAGAAACTGTCAGTTTTATAGGCGACTCGTAATACCGTTTATTGAAGCAGTTATGTTATTCAGCAACCGCGTGCATACATACGTACCTGGAAGTGCTCTACATCTTTGTTGTGAGGGTTGATTATATCAGGTAGCTATCATGTCCTCAGTAAGTGAAGTGGGTTTGAAATGTTAAAAGCGTGAATTATAATTGAATACGTCTTTCACAGAGCTAGTGCGTTTTTACCACTTTGATGCGTAGCAGTCGATAGATAACTCTAAGTATTATTTTACACCCACACTATTCAACCTAAGTTCACTTTCTTATGTAACCCAATACAGCTGTGGCTAATAGCTTTTCAGTTGTGGAAGTGAAACTGGTAAATCTAACAACTGTATGTGTTGCAGAATCATCCACGAACTGATGCATGATAAGTGTACAATGATACCTTAAAACTGAAGTTGGAAGACTAAGGGTTCCTCTGACTTTATTAATTATCCAATTTGAACAATTAGAAAAGACTACGTTGGTTATAGAGGAATTATTATTATTTTGAGAATCAAACGATATATATATATATATATATATATATATATATATATATATGAGTTGATTGTATTAGGTAAAAAAAAGGAACAAAGTTCTAATTTTTAAGAAAAATATGCAGGTTTGTCAAGAATGTGTGCACAGGTGAAAAAAAACAATCGAAATAATACACACTATACATGTGCTGTGATAATATGAATAAAGTCAGAAATCACAATTGAAATATGAGCACTTGAATGTTGGATAATGATCACGGTAAAATATTAGGTACCTTGAGCAAAAATATGTGTGTAAAGAACTGCTGAATATGCCTACGATGTTTGTCTTTTTTAATCTATAAACAATTGTCTTAATCAATATTATGTGAATTTAGGATATCACTGGTGGCGGCGTCACTGGTCCAAATATTTCTTCTACATGTATAAGCAAGAATTCCACACACGGAGCCTGTACAGATGTGAGTGCTCCAAATGCAGCAGAATCTACTTCAGGCCAAAGTAAGCTGGGGCCGAAAACAATTGCTAATTTGTAAGAATGCATTTGATTCATTTCAGACAGCTGCATCACTCTAAAAATTAAACAGGTATGAATTTTAAAAAAAATCAAATCTGCTAGAAAGACATGGCACGAAAAAGCTTTTATTACCCTGGTATAATGACCCGTGCAAATGATTTGACTAAGATTCCATGTTAAGTAATAATTTTGTATGCATTCAAAACAGATTGTATCTCAGTGGGTAAAGGCTGACAGCACCATTTGTGGTCTTATATTAATTGACACTTACAACTAAGAAATATGATACATTCATGTTTTGTAGGCTTTTCCTGTGCATATACCATCTAAGGTTCAAATGTCATTGTATGAGGGAAGCTGTACTGAAAACTGCCAGGTAGATTGTACAGCTACATTTAAAGTCAAAGAGTCAATGTCCACTAGTTTCTAATTTTTCTACCCTAAATTCAAATTAACTTTTCTTAGAATTTATCAGTTCTGTCCTGCTCGGATATAGGTTCACTTACAATACCTTTCAGTGTTTATTCCCTTAGCAAGACGAGAAACTTGGAAGGTTTTACCTACTTTTGACGTCTCTTCTGTTTGCTTCCATAACTCGTTAGTAGTGTTCATCGTTTCCTATGGGACTTGTAGTCAGCTAATGCTTGACCAGCTTTTGCACCACGTCACGTTTGGAGCTCAGTCTCTTAGTTTCGATTATTTTGTATATGCGGACAAAGTGACACTGGTTTCTTCCAACCTATCCGTGGAGCACACCAGTCATCTTCACAAGAAAAGTTGCTATAATTCAAAAATAAATATTCGATTATGTTCACAGTAAATTCAGGCCTTATGTCATCAACGCAAAGCTGGACATGTAAGGACTTAACAGCTACTTCTTATCTACGTTCGTCCATTTGCAGGCATACAGGTGTAAGGGCTAATGAATGGTCAAAGTTCAAGTAGATATCCCAGCAGTAACCAATTTGTATCAACCATTATTTCTACGAACAGTCGTCTTATTCTATAACTCACCGAGTTACTAATATGCAAGCCTAACTACCGGGATATGCAAATTCCAAAATCCTAAGGTTCATAATCTTACATAATCCTCAACTACACCTGAGGAACAAAATACTTTTGAGAGTTGAGCTAGTTCAAAAGATGAAGTGAAAATTGAGATAGACAGGGAATTTTGTAGTATGCTGAGTCAGTTTCCTTTAATAAAAAACGACAGCTGAAATATTGCCAGGTTGGAAAGAAATTGGAGGTCGTCAGGTATAAATAAAGTGATGTTCTGTGCAAAGGAGCACTTATTGCATGACTTGTTCTCGAGTTACCACCACAAACCATGATCAGATACCAGATGACATGATTAAAACTCAAAAGTACTTTGGTACGTGGTATCAAACTTTATTCCCCTCTTGGTAACGACGGTTCATTCTATATTTTTCCTTGCCTTATACCATAACAGGACCCTAGACTATATTGTTTCTGCTTTTCGATTTCTACCTTCTCTTTTGTTTTCACATACGGAGTACACAGCTAAAACTATTATGCAGTAGTGATACACCCTATATCGATGTTATCAGTCAGTATCTCTTCTCAAAATAAAGTATCATTAAGTACTGGACACATATCTCAAAGATAGCAACCTAAGAGTTTCATACCGTTGATGATTTATCCCATATGATCAATTTATACGTATCCGAGATAAATGTTTTCTTTGTTAGTAGTAATTATTCAAATCTACATGACAAGACTAAAAGACGTAGTTTATGTTTGCTTTCATTGAATTTATTCATCAATGAATACAACCGGATTTCATTAACAAAAACATACATCATGATATTAATGCTGCTTTTCAATTAGTCATAATAAAGCATGCGCTATGTACAAATATTGAGAGGAAAGTACAAGTGTGACGTCCACATGAATACTGAGGACTGCCTCTATAACCCCCCGTCTTATTAGCTGACTTGACATTAAGAGTATTAAAAAGAAAAGAGATAAGATTTTTATTGAAAACCTAGTTGATGTAACCTGATGAATTTCGTTTGAAAAGTTGAGCAGACCATGTAGGTATACGTATGGATGGGTTGTAATTAGAATATGAATGCTCTATGAAATTCATGAAGCTAAATAAATTTCAAACGTTAACAGAATTATTTCCGCCTATTTTTTCTTCTAGAAATCCAAGCTATGTGTAAATATATTTTTAGATCACTTCGGCTCGGTAAACAACAGTCGTTGAGAGATGAGTGGAATCTGACTATTCATATTAATCAGCAATACGCACCATCATGCTACGTATCAGCATGCTTTTGTGAAAAAAATAGCCATCAAAATACATCTAAATTCTGAAAAATGTATTTGTGAATTATCCAAAATAAGACGTAAAATTCACGATACGATAATGGAAGTGGTTACATTATTTTTATAGTTAAAAAATACCCAGTATCGGTTTCCAGGGTTTTGATTGGTTGCAGGATTGATCACGAGCTGACGTCAGTTAAAGAACTATTGGAAAACCAACAGGGAGTGCTGGACAGCGGTTTCGTTCTAGTTTGGGGGTCTTCAACAGTACGCACCTACCACAGGTGTTCGAACCCACGACCTTCCGGCTACGAGGCGAGTTCGTAGACTATTAAGCCACTGGGACTCGACCCAATGGTTCAAGAAGTTCAACTTCTGCGAATTGGTTGGTAGTTAAAAAAACACTGTCAACAGTTAATTAGGTCACTTACCTGTATAAATGATGGAAAAGAATTCTTGATGTATTCACATGCGGTGCTGGCATAGAGTTGATTAAATCCCTCATTTTGGCAACTTTTCTATCTGGTGCCATTTCTTTATTAGCTATAAATAAGAAATAGGCAAACAATTCGGATATGAGATAGTAACGGAAAAACTGCACTGAACAGGACAACGTGCAAGATCTGTTGCATGAAACATCTGAAAATAGGAACCTCAAGTAGAAGAGTGTCGCTGTGATCCATCAATAACCTCTACAGCATGAAGGCATGAGTTTTCAATAACTATCATCGAGTTAGCAGTACATAAACCACTTAGAATTTCACAGAAGTGAGCCTTATATGAGTTAATCATAATTACCGATAGCTGTGTGAATGTAATCTTTTACCTTACTTACCCCCCCGGGCGTTTAGTGAAGATCGGGAAGAATATAAGAAGTTACCCTTTCAGGCCTTACTTCCAGGATGAAAACTCTATGATATCAGTGTTTGTTCCATTGAACACTACCTTATTGGATATGCTACTCGACATCTAATTGCCCTACCTACCCTTCTGTGGCATTATCATTCCTAAAAGTTCAAGGTTTGGCACGTTGCTGCGAATGTGGCTATTGAGAAAAGTAGAGCTATCAGTTAATTTACAGTACACTCAGTAATAAAATCACAACTTGACTACCCGAATGTGAGTGAGATCTGTCACTCAGTCTCTGCATGATTTTAAGCTAATTTCAGGTACTCGATGACTATTTGAGTAAGTTGACACCTTTACCAAAACTTTGTACACACTCGATGCAACTTTTTTCAGAGATCAATTCACAGTTTCGAACAGAAAGAAATACTGGAAGAAGATTAAGCAGATACAGAATTACAATCCAAAGTAGGATATTTATTACTAGATGGTTGGAGGGGATTGGCAGGAAGCCTTGAACCTAAGTTCCGCACTAGTTGGCACTCCCCAATCAGCAAGGCGTATTTGCAATCTTGAAGGAACTCATATTCCCTCTGAGATTTGAACCCATGTCACTCAATGCTGCAGTTAGAGTCGTTCCCACTGAGCTTTTCGGCCTCGTGATCGATCTCCTGTAGGACAATACAAACTCGACTGATAGAATTCAGTCTACACCAAAGACTAGACTAATGATACTACTTAGTGTTCAGTCAAAGTATCCTTAGTAGGATAAGTGATCAATACATGTGTGAATGATATCAGTAACATATTTCAACCAAGGATTCAATTAGGTAAAATCCGTGAAATTCCTACAAGTTATAAAGAAACAGATGTCACCTAGTGTTCTTTGCACATGAGAAACTCAGCAGTTTTATACGATGGAAAAAACTGTAAAAAAAACTAACTAAAACAAAACTTGTAATTTACCTAAAAGTGAAGCAATTTCCGGATAAATTTTAAATGTTATTAATGGTTCTTTAAGTTCTCGGAAAAACAGTTTTAAAGCACCTGTTAACACTTCTAAACTCCATTTTTCAGAATTCAAACTGTAATTATCTGAAAATAGGATATTTAAATAAAGGAAAATTGATATCACAGCGGAGCGCTATTGAAACCAGTCAACAATTTTAGAAAGACATCAAAAATTGAATATGCTCAATAAAAAGTATATTCATAATTAAAAAAACAACATGTTTTATGATTTATTTGTAATATAAGATGCAATAAAGCATAAAAAAGACTAACCAATCATAACATACGGAAAGGAAATTTACACAAACCATTGATTAACATCAAAACTGAGCCATTAAAATGTGTGGTATAAGTGAGTTGAGGAAAAGTGCAATCATCTAATCAATGTATATGTTAACACAAGTCTTAATTAATCAGAAGAAATAAAAATAATAAACAAATTAAAATAACTGTTACTCAATCTGATTGATGGATGCTAACTAATATGTACAGCTAAAAAGAGTGAAAATAATGCATTTAATCCATCTATATTTAGATATCTCACAGTGAATTATCTGAGAGTATTCATACAGTTAGTACACTGTTAGTTAATGCCCTACACAAGTCCTACATCAGTTAGTTATGTTGATTACCTTGTAAAACTCCTCTGATAAAACACTATATGATGATCAAAGGAGGAACGTTTTAGTAACATTACATTACATTTGAAAATATTTAACATCTTGAAGTGAAGTGGGTAATCGATACCCTTTACCAGCAGCTTTAATTCCATCTATGGGCATGGTTAGAAAAAACTGTCAGATAACTAGTGATTAATGTGCGGGAGACCACTGATGATTTGATGAAAAGGTTACACACTCAAAAGATTTTTCACGGATATCAATACTACTCTCATATATGGACTATATTCAACATATAACAGCTTATGATACAAGTCAGTTGTCCAGGTTATAGTGAAAGGTATTTCTGAAGTCAATCAGAAACACTTTCACGTTTTCAAGTAATGACTATGAAGAGTACCTTACGTTGGCATAAGGAATGAAGAACTTTCCCTTCAAACATTTTGAACGTTACGCCACTTTCTATTTTATTCAATATGGAGTTTCGTTGAATTTAATAAATACAGAAAAGTGACTATTCACCTGTTAAATACTACCTAACATAACAAACCAGTAGGAAGAATTAACTACGAGCTTTATGTAGTGTAAGATCATCACGAGTAGTAGTGTTGGACTACTAAACCATCATGACGCATGAAACTGGTTCACAATTTCATGTTACACTGACTGACTTACTGGTTTCAGCACAGAACTTTGCACAAAAGTGCACTACTTCGAGTTGCCACACTCCACGTAGTAAACAGAGGGGTAGAGAAAAAGGAGATTGAAATCATCGAATATAAGCAGAGATGTGAGGCAGAAAAAAAGTAGTAAAGTGGAAAAACAATAGGGTTCTAATGGATATGACAGATCACAAAAAGTGAATGCATCTGAGCCATTGAGAACGATTTTGAGTTATATCATCAACTATCCCCAACCATTAGATTTTACCATTCCAAAGAATCCAACTAGACACTCAACACTTATCTGCGTGGCTGGCTGAAATTAACTTTGAAAGATTTCATGGACTGATTCCAAGTTTTGGTTTATTCACCACTAGCTCTTTTCCAACCTAATCCTATGTCAGCTAACATTGCCAGTCGAGGAAGATGATGGTAACGCATGCGTAAACATATCCTAGCCATCTCAATCAATTCACCTTCACAACGTCATCGATCGATTTACGCTCCTTATATAGCACCCGACGCCTAACTTCAAAATTACTCACAATAGTATACATACCACGGAACACGGGAGATGGAACGTAGACACTGATGATTACAGACAACTAGACTTGTCACGCCTTTCAATATCAATGGCCGTGTCTCACAGGCATAAAGGAGAACAGAGCGAATCGCTACACAGTACGGGCGTCCTTTGCTAAAAAGCAGGATATCACGTCCACGCCACAGATGGCATAAGTTAGCAAGTGCCACACGAGCGTTTCGGGTTTATGCCACCTCGCAAATAAATGAAGTGCTCAACGCGCTCTACAGCCTCATTCTCTGTTTCTACGCTAGGAGTCAATGTAGTTCAGTCCTGTAGCATCATCTTACACTTGGCGGGAGCGAATCGCATACCAAACATTCGAAGATTGCAGCTCAAAGTGTTCAGAAGACTCTGATCTATTTTGTCAGCGTCTTTACCGAGAAGGGAGGATTATATCATCTGGATATTCCAAGTCAACGAGATTATTTCCTGGTAATAAGTCAATCCCTGAGTCGCCAAAGTCATCAGTTAGGGTTAAGTCCATTAGTACGTCTATGATGAAGTTGAATAGAAATGGTGATAGTGGGCATCCCTTGTGGTGAGAGCAGTCTGCTAACCAATTGGTAGGCATTAATTTACGTCGATGTCTAGGTCACTAATATTGGCCGTGAGAAAATTTGAACAAGGCTGATTCAACAACCAATCACAGTAGACTTAACGTGGGCAAATACGATTGGCAGATATATGACTTAACTTTCTGAGAAACCAGGCACAAGCAATACAGAACAACCCTGAGCAAGAAACAACCAATCAGAAGACTGTTTGTCTGCTTGAATAAGCTATAATAATGTACATGAAATATATATAAATACGTGCTGATTTCCGTAATAAACGATCTGTTGTCTGGCCCTTGTCTTCTGTTGTTACACCCTGACGGAGACTACTAGTTGTCACCATTTCAGATGACAGCTCTCTTTAAGCTCTTACCTGGGTGACTGCATGAGTTCGAGTAGAGTGAGTGCCTTGATTGATGAAATGTATCTCTCGGAATTCTCTTCACAGCCAAACATCGCCATTGTTCTACTTCGGTCGACAGAATCGAATACCACCTCTAAGTCAAGAAATATGACGAATGTTGGACGCCAGTAATTATCCCTATGTTCCAGACTCTGTCAAGTGGTGAAGATATGACCAATACACCCTGTTCCTGGTCTAAAGCCTGTCTGGTTCTCTCGCGTTTGTTTCTCCCGAGCTGCGCTTAGTGCATGATTAATGAGTCTAGAATTTAAGATACCATATTGGTCATTCCATGCAGTCCAGTTCTGCAACATCATTATATCTGACAAAAACGAATCGCATGTCAAGCATTCGAAGGTTTCTGCTCAAAGTGTTCAGCAAATTCATGTCAGAGTGTACTGTTGACTATATTAAATAAGCAAATAATACTACATAATTTCATACGCTCTGTTCTTTCTATTGATTTACTGTTCAAGATCTGTCTAATACTTTGTTTATTTTTATTTTTTAGTAGTAAGGTGGAACAGCGGTAGCAAGAAGTACAAAAGCACAAAACACACACACACAATCAATAAGGTTGACCTAAGTATGTAAGCAAAAGAAAAAGGTGATTATCTGACGTTGAAGCTAGTACAATTCGAGTAGAAAAAGCTTTCACAACTAAATCAATTTCCATTATCTAAAAATGAAACTGTCTATCACTACACTTGATGCTGAATCAAGTTAAAACTTGTGAAAGATGTTAAAAGAAGTAATAAACACGTTATTTTTAATATATTTATATTCTAACTGTGATTACAGAAAGTATATGATACAGTTAAATGAAAAACAAAAACATATAGCTGAACGCTGAAACAAATTATAACTATTAACAATAAACAACAGACTAGTCACACCATCAGTTGGCAGGATAAGACAAAAAAAAGGAGAACATTTCTAACTGACTACAATACTGATATTAGCAGTGCTCATAAAGAAACACTAATTGTTGTTCAAGTGTTGGTTTGTAGAGATTTGATTGGTTACAGAATTTCATCATGAGTTTACATCGGTTACAGAACCGTTGGAAAACCTGGGAGTACTGGATAGCTGTTTCGTCAGCCTAGTTTGGGACTCTTCATCAGTACGCACCCGCCAATGTCAGTTCATGATGAATTACTGTAACCAATCAAATCCCTACAAACCAACACTTGAATATCGATGAGATGCTCACTAGCGACTTGCCCTATTCAGGTAGGTAGGTACCTGGGGTTCTATTGAGAAGTCGTGACCAGTAGGGTGCAGCTGGTCGAGTATGAGGACAAATACCCACCGAAGACATTGACTAGTAGTCGTGCTATGTCGTGAATTGGCAGAAGTTAGAATTCATGGGCTGGCCATTGGATCGCGTCCCAGTGGCTTAATGGTCTATGAGCTCGCTCGCCTTGTAACCAGAAGGTCCTGGGTTCGAACCCTAATCGGTGCGTACTGATGAAGAGTCCAAAACTGGGACGAAACAGCTGTCCAGTACTTCCTGGTTTTGCAGTGGTTCTCTAACCAATGTCAGTTCACGATAAAATCCTGTAACTAATTGTTGTGTTTTTCAGCAGCTCTATCAGCATGAAACTGTAAATTCTGAGTCAGAAAATTAAGCCTGATTTCACTGATCTTCATTTCTAAATGTTATTAAAATCTTTGGCATACTAAGTGTGATGCCTGTCTCCTTATGAAATATTTTATAGTTGTATGCTGTGTGGCTAAATTTTTAAGCAATCAACGGAATACAGGGAAATAACGAACACATAAAAACGGTACTATTTACTGATGACGTTTCATTTACCATTTATCACTAATAATCATAACAACGCAATAAATTGTGCTCGAAATGTTATCAATAAATAATACCTTTTTGCTGTGTGTTTTAGTCAAATAAATTTATTCAATGATGGAATGATACTCTACCACATTTTGCCCAACTTCTAATCGCATATCAATGAAATAGAAAGTTAGAAAATCTTCAAAATGATTTAATTTAGTTTAATACAACTTGTTGTTTTAATATGCAATATTGACTACAAATAAAATTGAATGAGTTTGTCATGCATAAGCTTAATCAATATGAGTCATTTTAATTTAACGTCATTTCGATAAAAGTGTGTTAACCGAAAATATCAGAAAGTGATTCACTCATTAGAAGGTGCGTAATCTAACAAAGTATTCATACAATCGATTTTTTTATGTCGTAAGCTTCAATGGAAACCTGACTAACGATTAATGATGACATTTGAAAGGTGTGTTCAATAATTCGATCATGTTCGCGTTTTATTTCACGTGTTAAATGATTTAATTAATACAGTGAGTAGTATTGAGGTTAGGCGTACACTGCTAGGTAAATGAGGTAAGCCAATAGATGATGCTTGTGGAGCTATATTGATTAAGATGATTGAATTCATACTGCACATATCGAGCCATTGTCTTCCTTGACAAACAGTGTTGATTGACATAGGATCGGGTTGGAAAGGAGTTAGGGGTAGTCAAACCAAAACTTGACTTTAATTCATGAAGTCTCTGACAGTTGATTTCAGCCACATAGAGTGTTGTGGACTGCCTAGTATGGGATCTCGAGATGGCAGGGGCCGAATGATGCAGACTATTGGTAATTTGGTAGCAGATCTATCCACTACATTCATAAGACCCGCATGTCTTTCCACGTTACTATTCTTTTTCCTGTACATTTCTGCGTATATTAGTTTTTTGAACATCTTTTCTTCTTTACGTTGTGTGCAGCATGGAGTGTGCCGACTTGAACATCTGCATTTCTGAGCAAAGTTATATGTTGGAACACAGTCAATCAGGTCAGTTGTACCCCAGTTATGAACTTGAACGACGTATTAATGACAGGGTGTAGCAGGATAATTTAAAGCCTAACTTCCAACTTCCTCGATGAGTAGTGTTATTAGGAATAGAATTAAGTTGGAGTTGTTAGGCCAGAATATGAAGTCACTAACTACTAGTTCGAGCCATCTGGTTAAATGCAACTTGCTTGACTGGGGTGCTACAGATACTAAGAATCAATGGCCATATCATGGCTCATATTGTATTTGTCCTTTATCTCCTGTCAGATTCTGAAAAGCTTCACTAACCCCTATCTAATTATTCTTTTTATCACATCCATGTTATTTTTTTTGTTGTACTATCATTCAGTTTCCTTATTTTGGTAGTATCATGGTTTGAATTCATGAAGTGTTGATTCACTTCAAGCTTATTATTTATTTCTCATTGGCAAACTCTTTTAAACTGCTTACATCTTAAACAACAAAGATACGTGTACATTCATCCAGTTGACAAATAGTTGCCGGCAGGAAAAAAAGTAACACGAGAGAGAAGGGTGGTGCAGCAAATAGTTAAAATCAAATGCTTAAATTAATATTCTCAGATGGGAAGATTAAGAGGTGGGTGAAACTAAAAATTCACAGGCTGTTAAACTTTAAGCACCACTAGCTACCAATCAGCGGATGGCCTTGAAAGCACCAATCACAGAAAAAAGGCGATTTTGTGTATGGAATGCATATATTTATAAAAAATGCATGAAAACTGAACAAAACTGTTACATAGGAGTAACAATGGAAAGGTCACACCACATCCTATACATATGTTCATCTATAAGTGACTTTAAGTGACAACTTTGTGATCTGCGAATGATTCTAATCCTGTTTTACCCTTCCCCAAAAGCCTTCGATAGAATTGGTGTGTGTTCTTGTAATGAGATCCAGAAAATCTTTAGGGTTGTTGACTCTGTGACAAGGTGTTATAACCTTTCCACTCATCTGCATATATTATATAGATCCTTGTTTCACCAGTCGAGTACTATTAGATATTGAAGGACTTGACTTCATGTATGCTATCCTCTCTACGAATCATTACTGCAGAGAGGTATCATTTAAACCAGTCACTCAAACATTATTCACTCGATCTTGACCACGGTTGTATTTTTTTTAAATAGGACAGTTTTATTTACATGTACGATGACGCCTTCTCCTCCGAAAGAAAGGAATTAGCCTCTCCATTTTCCAGGATGCGATATTCCTTCAGTGCTGGTACCACTGAGCTGTTGATACGAGATGATTTTTTAATTTCAGCAGCTACACCTCTCACAGGCTATTTTAAAACCCAGTGATTACAAATATACTAAATATGGGTTAAGGAAAGATGGCATCTGGCGAAACATGTTCCTGAGAAATGTTAGTCATCAGCAAACGCACCTGCATTACAGCAGGCATTTGACTTGAATCAAACGAAATAGAAGCTTAAACTCACGAGAATAAAACTCATTGGTCCATTCAAGGTCAATGGTGCAGAAGCAATCCAGTGGTAGTTAATGGTGCTTAAAGTTTAACTTGGTCAATTCACAAAATATAAGCATCACACCCTAGGCTTGTTCATTACTTTAAAAGATGCAGTACTGTCCCAATTGTGTCGTTTATCAATCAAAAAATGCGTGAATACTCTCTTTAAAACACATAAGCTATTCATTCATTTTCAGATTCCCTTAAAGACGCTGAAAAATCGAAAATTTCTTTTCCCCTAACAGAAATCATGTTTAACAAAAAATTAAAATTATAAAGTGAATGAATTCAGGGAATAAATTTGCATCTGACAATGAGAACTCGCTCTCGTTGGCAGTAGTGTTTATTTTTTAAGGAATGGGGGGTTGCCAACCTTCCCCCTTTACCAGGCATAACCTCGTGTACTGCCAGCTAAGCGGGGTTAAGTAGTGCGTCGACCGGGGATCGAACCTCGGGGTATGTGCGCAGTTGGAGAGTATTTTACCAGTGAACCGCCGTCAATATATATATATATATATATATATATATAGGATGCTCGCCGACCATACACATGGTCCGAGGTTCGATCGCTGGCCGACGCATTCCTTTACCTCGCTGAGCCAGAAATAATACTGGTAAAGAGGAAAGGTTGGACATGAGGCTAGCAACCCCATCCTGTAAAAATTAACACTGCTAAAGAAACTTCAAGCCACTAGCTTGAAGCCCTATGTTCCACTGGGGAACGTGAAGGAAAAGGAAAAAAATAATACTAATAGTAAAAATGATAAGAATAAGTATTAAAACACAATCTACTTTCATACTTACATTGGTTGACAGCACAACGAAGCTTTTGTATAGTGGCTCCATTTCCACTCAGACGATAAATGCCAATATGATCAAGTCCTGAAAGTTATAAATATTTTAAACCAATAATAAAATTGTAAGAATCTAGTTTTCAGTCTTAATAATAAATGCATAAATATACGATTTCATTTGCAAACATAATGGTAGAGACTAATCCGTTAACATTCTCACACAATTATTATTATCTGAAATTTTGTATCCGGTGTAACATTATTATTGTATCCATTAATTCTTAGAGGAACATAGGGCTTCAGCTGCGCATCTCCATTGCCTTCGGTTTTCTGCCAACTTTTTCACCCCGCCCCAAGTCTGCCCACATGCTATTATCTCCTCTTCACATGACCTCCTCAAAGTCACCCTCGCTCTGACGACCGACTCGCCGCTTCCCTTTGGGGAATGATATGACTATTTATATCCATCTGTTATAATACAGGTTAGTTTCACTAATCTCTTCCACTGCCTTACTATTTTGAATCCTGGTAAGGACATTAGAAGTTCAGTCAAGTCAAATAATAAGTTTATTCAGTTGAATAAATCATACTTATACCAAAGATTTCTGTGTCGCCCTTAGCAGTATGAACGTTGGCTGGCGGGATGAAATGTCCCATAATATAACTAAAATGGTAATTATTTCAAGCATTTGAATGGATGCAGTATACTATTGTTTCCAGGTACGAGTAAAAACATGAAAAGATTTTTTAATTGACGACATAATAGTATAATACAGACACGAAACTGTTAGAGTTGTAAAGACGACGAAGAAATTAGGCACTGTTTTTAGATTGAACAATGCATTGTTCACAAGCACAAAAATAGAACTCTCTGGATAATGATATTGGCATGAAAGTGTTTCAAACAGACCGCAGTATAAATTGAAATAAATAAAAACAATTACGGTCCTTAGACCATGAATGTCGTACAGTATTTGTGAGTCCGAATAACTTCAAAATAAAAGGGATTTTCTAAAAAAGGAACACATCTCTGTTAGCCGTGATTTATGAATACATTGACATAGTTACTTTATTGGACAGTTATGATTCGTTCATTTATAGCTTAAGTTTCTAAAATCAGAGGATAGTCAGATTTATTTATTTACTTGTCGCTTAAATTCCTGAGGTTTCGTCAATATGAGATACCGTGTATTTTGTCTAATAAGGGTCGTTGTTGTTGTTCTAGTCGTTTCTCCCCAGTCTGACTTTTGTGTCTATTACAGTGGTGTTTGAAAGTGCATTTTAGCTAGGTGAGACGGACTCACAGCTCAGGACTACTACATCATAACAAATAGGAAATTCTTTACAGGCAATTAAAAATACCAATACTAATCAAGCTTATATTTCAAGCTATTTAAGGTAATAAAGAAAGTATTGAAAATAGTCGGATAATGTGAAATCGATAAATCAATTTGATTTAACTATAGTCATAATTACAACTGCTTAAGTTTGGTTCGGCACGGCCTTATCATGCAGCATTTTGTTGCAAAGTCATAATAATCGGAGTTTATGGTTAAGCTACGAACCACTCCTCGAATGACAAAACCAACCGCGTAACACTGTTAGATATATGCACACAAGACGCGCAAATGAAACTTATTTGACAATTATGAGAACTGAGGATTGTTTCGTATATTCAATATATACATAATATCTGAATACATGTTAATTCAAAACATAGAAAATAAATATAACGAATCAATAATGAGAATTCTATAGATTTAAGTATAAAATAAAATACCTCTAGCCTCAATAGCACGAATCGCACGGACAACAAAATTAGGAACATCTGAACTTTCATTTTCACAGACCTGCATAATTGTGGATGCAAAAACGGATTCATCTAAAAAAATGTAAAGTTTAAAAAAATAATCAACAGTCAGGAAATAAGGAGAAAATGCAACTTGGCTTTGCTATAAGAATAAGTGGTGTGGATTTTAATTCCATTAATTAGTTTTACGAGTCTCTTTTTGAAAGTAGATCGTGTGACACCATTCTGTCTGGACTTGAAGCGCAAACCAATCCCATTAGGATATTTCTTCCTTGTCACCTTTGAGAAACACTGCCACTCACGATTATATTTTTTTATCAAGTTTAATGGAAACATGAGAACAGGCAGGTTGTATACATTTTAAATAATCGCGAGAGTAAACAATACAACTAGAGATAACATTTTATTAGATAAAAACAAAGTGAAAAGGAAATATAATGATGGAGACTTTAGTGAGCCTACATTTTAAGGGGGCCACCATGATTAACTGATGATAACAATAATTAGATCAGTGATAAGTCCTAGGGACTCGAACGACAAGATACATTTTAAATCACATGATTTTAGCTAAATATCCGTTTGCGCTTAAGCTGTTGAGATTGTTAGCTTACAAAACAATCACTGATTAACGTTTATTTACATACTTATTTCACTGTGAGATGTAAAATGATTTCCAAGATCTATGGAACACTAATAAATTCTCAGCAGAAATGGTTAGAATGCTGGACACAACAATTTGAGGAGCAATTTAACTGGACTACAACTGCTTACCATTCACTCACCAACCAAATGAAATGTAAACACCAGTCCTACTACTGTAGCTGGGTCTCGAATTTAACACTGAGCAAAGTAGCACAACATTATACTGTGAGTCAAGAGGAGTAATGAGGATGATTTAGGTGAATTACTGACCTAATTAACTAAGGCATTAACTAGTTTATGAGATTCTGAGATACTCTCAGTAGACTAGTGTACATATTGTTTATTATCCCAGTTTAATAGAAAGAGAACACATCTTCCCGTAATAATCATGGGGGAGCAGATTGAATGACAAAGTTTTTTTTTGATGTGGTTTTGTTCTCTGAGCTGGATGGTTAGTTTGAGAAGCTTTCATCACCTTACTGGGTGATGAAAGCTTCGCAAACTAACCATCCAGCTCAGAGAACAAAACCACATCAAAAAAAATCATCCACCTGAGCTACAAATCTTCTCTATAATATCTGAATAACAAAGTTTACAACATTTATAGGTTCCATAGTCTTGTGCAGACTAAATGCAGCTAGAAAAAGACCGAAAACACTAAGCAGGTCTCAACATCGACGGGGGTATACTGATCATATCTTCATACGACAGGTTAAGAAACACAAGCATACTCAACGGTAAACAAAACTTGTAACATTTCGTAAGTTGAAGGAGGTTTTGACTCCGTCAATCTAGTCATGCTGTAGTAATGTATGGTGATGGGTATGGCGTTAATGTAGGCCTTCTACATGAAGATACTGACAAGGTATACTGTCTTCTACACACCTGGAGGGAAAAACTTAGAATGTTTGGCACACAACTCCCTCCAATAAAATGTAACTTGATGCAAGAGAACTGGCTTGCACCCACTCGTAGTTAAAAGACAGGGAGTGAAACGGATGAATGTGCTGACCACTTCACTTATTTGTGGACTCATATTAGCCTTAATAGACCGGTTACTAACAAATCTCAGTATAGATACAAAAGACTCATTTGGCACTTGTTAACTTGCGTAGTCCTTGAGACAGACATGACATACGGTTATTGATCAGTTTGTTCTATCTTTCTTTACGGACAATGAGGGTGGGAGACATAAAAAGCCGTAGCCATTTTCAATCACAGGTATCAGTGTTCAATTTTTTGTGTAAGAGAAAACGAAAAATTTCTACGATAAATAAATCGACTTAGAAGTAATAATATTCACACATATTTCATAAACTGAAAAATGTTATGTAGTCACCACTAGCGGAAGCTACTTGATATTAAAATATAGGGTGACAAGCTAATACAACATATTTGATCAAAACAAGAACTACAGTTTTAGCAGAATAAAATGATACCATCTTTTATTTCGTTGCCTTCTCGTCAGCTGCTTACACGGTAAAGACATTATTAAATATATCTACAACAACAATTTTAACATACTTGCACAGAGTTCAGTTTAAACAAAAATCAATCGATCAATATACTCATACACTAAAAATATATACATATATAAATATGCAATATTAACCACTATTCCGAACAACAATAATAATCAAACACAATGGAAACTTTTAGCATTTCACATTCGGAGGAAATAGAGGTGAAATTATCCAGTTACCAGGGCAAAGAAAGGCTGATAACCGCTTCTTTCTGGACGCATAAATCAGGTTTCAGGCGCTATGGCTAGTGATGTACTCAGCCTTCTGTTGATCATCGCTGCAATATTTTCACCTTTATAATCAAGCTGAAGGTAGACTGGCTTTTTTCCACTGTGATTTGTTTTACATTTGTGACTTCAGATCTTCCATACTTGTTGATGAACCTTTGAGGATACCCATTTCTCTTTAATATATTTTCAAGGAACTCAATCTCCTCCTCTAGTTTCTCTTCAGAGCATATTCTTCTCGCTCTATAGTACAAAGTCTTGACTAGACCACGTTTAAAGCTATGTGGACAAAAGCTATTAAAATGTAAGTATTATCCTTTCCATTTGGGCTTTCGATAAATTGACTTTTGAAGACTACCGTCTTCTAGGCGTTCCATGGCTAGCCATAGCGTATCCTGCAGCTAAGCTCGTTCCCGTCTATCGAACAACTTGCTCTTTGGTGCAATCAAAAATCTATAGATATCCTTCTCATGTTACCTCCAACTGTGTATACAAATTTACATGTATCTGCGGGAGCAGTTACATTGGAAGGACAGAAAGAAGGGCATATCTACGATTTCCTGAACATGTACCAAAAAGCTTACGTCTAAAGGGAACAAATGCTTTAAACAGTGCAAACACCAGGCATCTCCTCGACACGGGTCATGAGGTGGACGTTGAAAAGTCGTTCAAAATTATCAATAAGCAAAATAGCTCAATTCTCCTTAAGTTTGCTGAAGCCATTTCCATCAAGCGCCTGAAACCTGATTTATGCGTCCAGGAAGAAGCGGTTATCAGCCTTTCTTTGCCCTGGTAACTGGATAATTTCACCTCTATTTCCTCCGAATGTGAAATGCTAAAAGTTTCCATTGTGTTTGATTATTATTGTTGTTCGGAATAGTGGTTAATATTGCATATTTATATATGTATATATTTTTAGTGTATGAGTATATTGATCGATTGATTTTTGTTTAAACTGAACTCTGTGCAAGTATGTTAAAATTGTTGTTGTAGATATATTTAATAATGTCTTTACCGTGTAAGCAGCTGACGAGAAGGCAACGAAATAAAAGATGGTATCATTTTATTCTGCTAAAACTGTAGTTCTTCATTTGTTCAAATTCATTAAGGGGAAAAATGTATGAAAGTAATACAGCATAATCTGAGAAACACTTATAAATTGTAAGGTTGATAGATTTTAATCAGATTGGAACGATAGAAGACAAGGGCGAGGCAACGAATTGTTTATTGAGAAAATCAAGAGGTATTTATAGATTTTTAATTACATTATTGTTAGCGGAGAAGCAACCTCTTCTGATTGACTGTTTTCTTTGCTGAAGATTATTCTGTTATCTTTATATGTGGCCGTTTCTCAGAAAATCAAGTCGCGTATCTACGAATCATATTTCCACACGTTAACTCCGCTGTGATTGGCTGGTGATTTTCTCAAAGCTAAGCTTTGTTATTGTTTTTCTTATGACACTGATTCGGGACGTGAACATTGACGTAAATTGTTGTCTACCAATTTTGGCTTGTAGCCAGCTCTCACCACAAGTTTATTCGATATAACACACGATGATACAGCACTGATAAGAAGATGACGTTTCGAGTACAAATTATTACTTATAATTCACACCATTTCCTAACTTGCTTTATATAGCTTCACGCCTACGCGTTAATCACCGGATCTTTATTCATTGAATAAACACCAAACACGTGCAATCAAATTGACGCAACACCCATCTCGAAAATATGGAAAATCACAGTAAAAAAACACACACGAGAGCTATGGATAGCAAGCTTAGAAGTCGTCTGAATACTACTGATATGATCATAATCAATAAATTGTGCTCGAAACATCATCCAGTTAACCAAACTGTATCACCTTGTCTCAGGATTTCATCATGAGCTGACATTAGTTAGAGAACCATTGGAAGACCTGGGAGTACTGGACAGCTGTGTATCACCTTGTGTTATATTAAATAATTTTATCTAATATATAGAGTTATATTCTACCACAGTGCCAAAATTCTCCACTCTTACATCAAATAATAATCAGAACTGGAAATAATTAACATCATAATGACTGTTATTTAATGACTAGTTTGTCAAAAGAATCTAATCCAGATAGAATAATTCAATAAACATTCTTACAATGTAATAGTCTTCATACAGATTTTATTGATTTACTATGTAAATATTTTACCCCAATAACAGTTAGGAAGAAGACAGTTAGACCTTCGCAATTTTTCTTTTTTTTAAATATGTCAAAATACAAGCGCTTTTCACTTTCAAGCATTCATTTTACCATACAGGTGAAAATTTCAAAAGGTAATGAGAGAGAGAGAGGATAATAATCCTATGAATACATATTAGTACTTACAAGCTTTAACCACTCCCTAAGCAATAAGGTTGTTTTTCTTATAACTTAAGAGTCAATCATACAATAAACAAACAATACATTAGAAGAGATTATACTAAACTTGATCTGAAGGAAAACCAATTGTGTTAATTCCTTTAAGTTAAACTGTTAAATAAAACAAGTGAAATGAAATTCAATAGATCTTAAGATTTCATTACACAATCAATATGACTTTGTCCATTGTTTAAAAATAAACTATCGTGACTTTTCATGCGTTCGGAAGAATGAAAGCTAAAGAAGTTCTAGATTTACTGAACCTTGTAACGTATTTCAGGTACGCACTGAACACATTTCACAAAAACTGTTGGTTCGAAGATTTCAGCATAGAAAAAATCTCCATTTAGGCATTTAGGATTGAGTTAAGAAATATTTACTTTTCAATTAGATCCCCATCCCTAGGTCTACTCTAATACAGTGAGTATTGATGAAGAGTCCAAAACTTGGACGAAACAGATGTCCAGTAATCCCCAGGTGGTTTTTCAATGGTTCTCTAGCTGACGTCAGTTCATGATGAAACCTTCCAACCAATCAAACGAAATCCCTACAAAATCGACACTTGAAACAATACGAAAAATTCTACTAATCTAGTAGCGATATGTTTGTTAACAATAATGAGGATCTAATTGAAAAGTAAGGAGTTCTTCGCTCAATCCTTTTGCCTTCCGAACGTCTAAATGGGGATTTCTCTATGAAAATATAACTCTACGATTAAGTTTATTAGAATGCAAACGAGACTGTAATGTGTTCAATGAAACGACACTTATTATTTGGATTCGAAAAGTAGTAAAAGGTTTACACGTAGAAATTGAATTGAAGTTCTTCTGCACAGATGCTTTCGCTTCATCAAACTGTTGAAAATCGCCTGAATAAAAAGCAAAGAAATTAAACACAACTTGATCTGATTTTATATTTCGTCCTCAGGAATTAATTTTGTCAAAATGTGTGAGCGATAAAAGATTATCCTTAAATGCACACACACGGGATTGAAATCGCTATTCACTTTTCACACTGACAAGGCATATTTGAAGATATTCGCGATTTCTCCTACCGCTAGCCAATGGTCTTCTCTAAGCATCTATCCTGATGTCCAACTTGGTCAACCCCGTTGATCACGCCTTCCCACTAGAACTTCAAGCAAACTCATGGTCAAAATTGAAAATGAATCAATCCCTGCAGACCAATACTTGAAAATGTTTGAACATGCTTGTAGTTTTTTCAACAACTTATCAACATATGAGGTATTCCATTGAGAAGGATCACAACTGAATTATCATATAAAAACTTTGATTTTGTAAATTCATAGTTTACCAAGACTTTGATGAAGTAGTTATTAGTATTAGTGAAGTGCTGTTTATTAGGAAATATAGTCCAGAAAATAAATGTCATTGCAATTAAGATCAATTTATCCAACAAAATTACAATGACAATATTTTGTACACAGAAGTACTAACAACAGTCGACTTAAAACTCTGCGCTACTTAAATTTCTATCCAATATCCAATTTATTCTATCTTTTGCTCTAGTCATTGGAATACGTCTGTGGATAGTAACATGTACTCACGAGCATTTGTAAACAGTGGAAATGAAGTGAAATATATTAGGGGATTGGTTCTTGCTTAAGATCAGACAGTACTGTGTTACACGATTTACTGTCGATTGGTATTCCACTGGAAAATCCGGTATACAAATACTACATCTAAACAGGTTATTATTATTTACACCTTGTATAGTATTGTACGAAATATATATCAAATGAGAATTACTTACTCTTCAAAATTCCACGAGATCTTAACGATGCAGCAGTTGGTCTGGTTCGGAAAAAATCTCTTAGCTTTGCTAACAGTTTACTATCCAACATAGATGGTTGTGCTGCATCGCCTAAAAAACATGCACAGCAGGAAGAATACAAATTGAGAAATGTACAATTTAAGTGGTCTGTATAGAGATTTATAAAAACAAAATGCAAAGAATGCACGTGTATTTCTGTAGAGAGACTAACAAGTAAAACATTCGTAGAATAGTATAGAAAAAAGTTGGGATACTTGACCAAACCTATGTAATTGTACAATCATAATGCTATTTCATAAACTCATGACTAACACTACATCCAATGGCAACTCTTATTGAAGTGAATTCCAATCCCGATATCTTGTAAATGACACCTAACGTATTAATATCAATAACAAATATAAGTCACTGATGGTTAGTTCTCAAAACAAAGAAATCAACTTTATTTAGACATGAATTTCTTTCTTCAGACCTGATTAAGGCAGAAATATGCCTTACAAAACTCATTTCTGTCACAATGTTGGAACATATTTCTTTCCAAGATGTGTATAAATTTGATGCTATCTTGTTGCACACGAAAGGTAAAAGTGGTTTTCATTACATAACGGCAAAACCCAAATAAGCGTTTATTTGAGGGTACCAACGTAGCGGCGGAAGATAAGAGAATTGGGGACGGACTTTTATGAAGGAAAAATATATCATGTGTATACATTCTTAACTTCATTACTGTTCGGTTAGGTCAGAGGAGGACAAATCGTTCTGATTGGTTGGCAGTAGGTCCAAGGTGAAACGAATCATCCAATGAGGTTATTTCGTGACCACAATGTAATCTGGACATCCAGATTTGAAGAATAAACGATTCTACGTCTGCAGTCATTGATTTTGAAATACTGATTTCAATTTTGACCATATCCTATCAGTCAGCGTCGATACAGAACACGATATACAACACGAACTCTAGTCAAGATTTGACTGAATAATTCTATAAATATTTGATACCGATAGAAAAGCAAAAATACGTAGAAAATTGGAACAAACAATTCAAACCGTTCACCAATATACATTAATGTGTATAACACACAGATATTTTCTAATTAAGATTTCCTTACTACGTACCGTATCATCAAGACCTTTAATCAAATATTTACATTAAAGACTGATATAAAAGTGCACACACACACACACACGCACACTGTTTACAGTGTGTAACAAAACAGACTAATAATAAGTTTGTGGACGTATTCGGTCAAATCTTGACCACAGTTCATGCGTTTTATTTTTGATGACTATTCATGACTTAGACATGATTGGACAGAGATATTAGAGACAAGATGTGCCTATTTTATAGGCAGGAGTTCATCATGAGCTGACATTGGTTAGAGAACCACTGCAAAACCTGGAAGTACTGGACAGCTGTTTCGTCCTGGTTTGGGACTCTTCGTCAGTACGCACCCACCGAATAGGGTTCAAACCCAGGACCTTCTGGTTACAAGGCGAGCTCGTAGACCATTAGGCCACTGGGACCCGATTCAATGGCCCATGAATTCTAACTTCTGCCAATTCACGGTATAGCGCAACCGCTAGCCCCTGTCTTCGGTGAGTATATGTCCTCACATCCGACCTGTTGGTCACGACTTCCCACTGGAACCCTACCTGAATAAGGCCAGTCGTCAGTGAGCATCTCATTGATATTCAAGTATTGGTTTGTAGGGATTCGGTTGATTGGTTACAGGACCCCAATGTCAGCTCATGATGAAATCCCGTAACCAATCGACCAAATCCCTACAAACCAATACTTGAATGTAATTTCGATTATTTCTCTGTAAAAGTTCAGACCAATTTGCCGAATGAGACGTTGGAATTATTTATTTCAATTTCGCTAAGATTTATGCAAATATAATTTTTACCTTCGAAGGATGCTTAATAAAAATTTCGAAAAAGTAGGATATTATCATATTTGTGATTACTACAAAAAGTAATTGTTTATTAGATAACACAGATTAATATCATTCAAACAAGAAACGATTCATGATACAATAAAAGTAGTAACATATTGACATTTTCGAGAGGATAAAGTGTTAGAGTAAGCTGTAAAATTGCAAAATTAAAATATATATATCCACTCACTATTTGAATTTCGATTAATTTAATATAATTATCATAAGATATTTGTAAATTATTAAGTGGTTCATCTGATATTCAATAGAAATTATTGTATATGACTCATTTACGAATATTTAAACCAATAAGCCCTACTAAGTGAAAACGAAGTGCTACTGAACAGTAGTAGTCACCACACCTAGTTTAAAAATATTTGACAGGAAACAAATAAATTAACAACATTGTGTATACATGAGCATAAATCAGAATCTAATCTAAGACTAACACGTCTTATGATAAGCACAACTATTGTTGACTTGAAGATATAAAAGTGATCAGAAATTGTTATCCTAGGACAATTCATGATATGAACTGAGAAAAATTAGACCAGTGACCTCCAATTATATGCCACGTGTGTGGATGGATGTCCCACCAACGACAATGGTTGAGGTCGTGCTAAATCACGAATTGGTAGAAGTTAGAATTCATGCGCCATTAAATCGCGTCCCAGTGGCTGAATGGTATACAAGCTTACCTTGTAACTGGAAGGTAAGTAATGTTGACGTTAGGCGTACAGTGTTGGGCAAAGAGGGAAAATCAATCGACGAGGCTATAAAGTTACATAGATTCAGATGGCTAGGTCACATGCTGTTCATGCCTAACCATCGCCTCCCCCGACTGGCATTACTAGCCGACATAGGTGCGGGTTGGAAAAGATTAAGTGGTGGCCAAACAAAAACATGGCATCAATCCATGAAATCCTTGACAGTTAAACTGAGTCAAGTAGGGAGATGCAGACTCCCGGGTTGGGGCCCTCGGGACTCTAGGAATCAATGGCTGGAGACAATAGGTGACATGGCTCAAAATCGTTGTCAATGGCCAGCGCAGATGTATTCAGTCTCTGTAAACTTCCATATTCCTTTCTACCATTACCCATTCTGTTTCACTCTTATAATTGTCAGACTGTATTGATTCTCTTCACTCATCTTCTTGTCTACCTCTGTGTGCTATTTGGAAGGTGGCAACTCGAACTGCTGCACATCGGCGCCAAGTTCTATGTTGAATCCAGACAGACAGAGACAGGAAGTTCCTGGGTTCGAATCCCAGTGGGCGCGTACTTCCGATGATTCCCAAACTAGGATGAAACAGCAGCTGTCCAGTACTCCCTGGTTCTCAATGGTTCTCTAACTGATATCAATCCGTGATCAACTCGTAAAAAAAATTAGACCAAAAGAAGTATCTAATCTCCTTTTATTTCCATTGATTACTGAAGAGATGTTAGTTATTCAACAAGCTGATCATCTTAAAACTAGTCAACTTAAAATGAGGATAACAAAATCTGCTAACTACCGGTGAACAAAGAAACTTTTGACACAACAAAACTAGTTCACAGAAATAAAAAAGAACAGTCATACTGATAAAAATTACAAAAATCAGTTTGTATGAGGTGAAGCTTATTATCGGTTTTAAAATTCCCGATTCTTGTATAAATGAATCAGTATGTTAATTTATACCTTACAGGTTAAAAATAAGATGTAGGGAGCGTTGGCTTCATTCACTTGATGACTTTTCTTATAAAAATGTACATTCGCCGTTACGTTAATTGACGTAATAACTTAGGCATCAAACGCTTTAAAAGCATTTGTTATAATCCACGTTGATTAATAAGGTTCCAGAAACTGTAAGATAGAAATTAATAATACTAAAAAATTGTTACAGTTCACCGTGTGAAAAGCGGCTGTATATACTACCAATGTACTACTGAAAAAATACTTCTCTTCTGTGAAATATGATGACAGAGTTTCAATCATCATAAAGTCTACAATAAGTAAACTGATATACTTGTATATTCAGTTGATAAATCGACATCACTATGAATGTATGCACATCCTACATTCAGTAAACAAAATGTAGCAAAATAAACGCATATATATATATATTCTCAAAAAACATATAAACATGTAATTTTGAAAAGAAATTTGTAAACGAACTAAATGTGATACAGTCTGTTTCAATTGATACATACTAATAAAATGAAATCTACGACGAAAAAAGAGGAATATATAAATTTGATTTTTATGTATATATATATATATAGACTGAGATTTGTATATGTATGAGAGAAATGACCTACGCAATTCCATTAAACGAACAAAATATGTCAGCTCATAATGAAACCCTCCAACCTCCTCAAAAAAAAATCCCTAGAAAACTAATACTTGAAGAGAATAATCTGATGTCTGCTAGTGACTGGCCCTATTTCAGGCGGCTAACCTGGGGTTGCAGTGGGAAGCCGTAACTAGTGAGGTGCAGCAGGTTGGAGGTGAGGCAGTAACTCATCGAAGAAGACACTACAAAGTGGTCGTGCTACGTCATGAACTGGCAGAAGTTAGAATTCATGAACCGTTGAATCGGGTCCCAGTGGTTTGATTATATACGAGCTCACCCACCTTGTTACCAGGAGGTTCTGGGTTCGAAACCCTGTGGTGGGCGCGTATTGCTGAATACTCTTAAACTAGGACGAAACAGCTGTCCAGTACTCAATGAATTCATTCCAATGGTTCTTTAATTGATGTCAGCTTATGATGGAATCCGCCAACCAATAAAACAAAGTTCCTAGAAAACCAATACTTAAAAAAATAACCCCTTTTTCCTTCTTGTTCTGACGGTATTCATCAATAGTAAGTAGTATATCGTGAATCAAATACTCAACATTGTACTATTAATTAAGTTGTTTTTTTTTCTGTGAATATAAGCACGCATATAAGTACAAAATGTGTGAAATAGTTTGGCTTAACTGACACATCAATACAATGATTGGGTAAACATATTTATGCGGTTATATTCATTAGTAAATTTCTGGAAAGATATTTATTCATAAGCCTTACTTATATATGTATAACTTGTAATATACAAAGTAATGGGATAGAAAAATTAATAAAAGTGTAAAACATGTTGACCACTAAAAATGGTTAGCGTTAATTAGTGCTATTATAATTAATCTCAATTAATAAAGTCATAAGGCAAGTTAAAGTAGATAGACACCTAAGTAGGTATAAGTTAAAAAATATTAAAAGTTAAGAGTTAACCATATATCGTTTTTTCAGTTATTCTTTTAGTTTTTTATCATAAGGAAGCTAAGCTTAATCATGTATAATGACGACCTAGTATTACGTGAAGGTAACATGTACTTTTTAACAGACAATAAATAATTCTCAGTATAGTTTCTTGAGAAATATAAACTCCTTCAGTAAAAATACTCATCGACAGTATATCATATGATGGGAGGTCGTTCTGTGTGAAAAAAGACTCAGTCCTCTAAAACACTTTCCCTCAATTTTCTTCTCGGACTGCACAGAGACAGGGGTTAAAAGCCAAATAAAAATTTGCCTAAGCTCATGTTGATAATATTCAAATACATAATTGGAAGATTAAAACAACAAGATATGCAAAAAAGTAGATGTACTCTGCTGGATGGAAGTATAGGTAGCCCAGTAGTTTAGGCGGGCCACCAACCAAAGTGTTACTCAACACAGCCTGCTCATTCACCCACTTAACAGTGTATGCACACCAGTGATACTATTCAATTAGATTCTCTGAAATTAGACAACTACCAAACTAGATATGAGGCTAAAGCCCTTTTATTACAATTAATTCTATTCTAATAGGTAGTGCATGAGACAATGTAAGCGATTTATTATATGTTATTATTGTTCCCTTGGGCTCCCAGGGGAACATAGGCCTTCAAAAGCACATCTCTATTTTTTTCTATTTTCTGCTGTCCTCATCATCTGAGTTCACGATTGCCCAAACTCTCTCATCTCTTCCTCACATGATCTTCTCCATGTCACCTATGCACCAACCAACCACTCTTCGCTTCCCACTTGGATTCCACTAGAAGGCCTGACACGCGATGTCATTCGACGGTCTCCTCGATATATGCCCAATCCACCCCCATTTTCTCCCAAATATTTGCTGAGCAATCGGCTCTTTGTTGGTTTCTTCCCAGCCAGAGTTTCTTGTTACCCATTTTTTCTGGCCATTTGACCTGCAGTAAGGAGCCAGAAAAGGTAGCCAATGATGAACGTCTGAAGTGGCCTGTTGGAAATCCTTTTCGTGACACGCTGGCCAAGTTTCTGACCCATATAGAAGGACCGACTTGACATTGGTGTTGGAAATCTTGCTCATTATACTTAGTGCAGAAGATTTCCAGACCGATTTCACATTGATGAAGGTGTATCTTGCCTTTCTGATCCTGACTGGCTTTGACATCTGCATCCGGTTCAACTACCTGTGGTTGAAACAATGTTTCCTAGATAAGTGAAGGAAGTGACGTCTTTCAAGTTTCTCCCGTTGATAGTGATTGGTGCTGGTGGTTGTTTTTGCTGTTGATTGGTTGGTTATCTTTATCACCTCCGTCTTCTCTATATTCGCCTGCAGTCCTGTCTTCGCTGCGTGCTTCTTCAGCCAGTTTGTTGGCTTTCACCTGTAAGTCTTCAAGTTTATGTGACATTAAACATTAATCATCTGCGAAATCCAGATCCTCTGGAGTCTTCTTATCGATCCAACATATTCCTGTCTTCTTGCTACCCACAGTCTGATGCATGATCCACTCAATCCCAATTACGAATATGGTAAGTGATAATAAGCAGCCAGCTTGTCTTATTCCTCTATTCACTTCAACAGAAGGCTTCTCTGAGTTTTCTGGTGTGTATCACCTGACACCTACCAATGTCACATACCTACCTATTGAATGAGGTTGATAAAGATTTGAGGCACGCCGAAGTGTTGAAGTACTTTCTTTAAACTACTTCTCGGTCAACGCTGTCGGAGGGCTTTTCAAAGTCAATAAAGTTGAGGTAGAAAGATTTGACTACCATTCTATGCTTTGTTCGATAATTATGCGTAGAGTTGCAATAACAAAATATAAAAGATTGAAGAGATTATAAATAGTCACTGATGCAAACGCACTAAATGGTAAACTGAATAGATGTAGGTGAACGAAACAAATTTAGCAATCATTCTCCTCCACAATGAAAACTACCAACTACATGCTCTGCTGGAGGTGAAACAAAAGTGTAAAGAATCCGTGAAAGAAAGAAAAAAGCAATCCAATAAAAGAATGATTAGAACTAAGCGGGATGAAGACAGATAACAGTAAGATAGTAGATGATTACACATTACTTTATATAATCCAAGATTATAGATTTTGATTTAAAGGCAGTTAACCAGTTTGAGCAGTTATATACTCAACTGCCCTAAGATAAGTCACTAGGCTGCAGAAATGAAGTGCTCAGCATTATACTAATGTTAACAGATGTCACCAGACATATATATATATATAAACACGCCACCAGACAAGAGCTTGTCATACACATCTTAGAAGTTACCTTTACGAAACTTAATGAAAAATCAATACCTAAAATACAGTTAAATATGTATAAATCTTTAAAAAAATTAAAACAAACAACAAGTGTACACTGATGTAGTAATAATATATATTCATCCACCTACGTCGTGTAATGGAACGTGTTAATGTCACTCCACGATCTTCTTTCTAATTAAATGAAATAAAATATAGATATTTCAATCATGTATTAGTGAATCAACATTTAAATATCTTAATAAAAATTATACATCTCATCCAACAGTTGTACAACAATGCTGTATGCCAAGTAATCCACAACCAAAAAATCGCGGAATCCCCCGAAGTTAAGACGGGAGTAAGACAAGGCTGTCTGCCTACTCTCTCTAATGATTTCCCTGATTGTGGTAAACTGGATAATGAGACAGACAGCTGGCAGCGAGAAAACAGGCATAAAATGAACTCACACAAAAAACTTGGAGGATCTGGACTTCGCCGATGATATATGTCTGATTTCCCACAAACTGGAAGATATGCAAGTGAAAAGCAACAAGTTGGTAGAAGAAGCATCCACAAAAGATGGAACTTCAGGTGAACATAGAGAAGATAGAGGTGATGAAGATTCCTGGTCAACACCAACAGCAAGAACAACAACAGACAACAATCAGCCAGCATAAATGGGAGGAACCTGAAAGAAATAACCTCCTTCACCTACCTGGGAAACACCGTTTCAACTACACGCGGATGGAACTGACGAGGATATCGAAGCAAGCTTTCATTACTCTTAAGTCTGTGTGGAGGTCAGCAGTATTCAGCATGAAAATGAAAATAAGATCCGGATTTTTAACTCCAATGTGAAGTCAGTGATACTATACGGATCAGAAACTTGGCCAGCGTGTCATAGAGAGCATCTCAAACAAACTAAAAACCTTCATCAACAGTTGTCTTCGCTCAAAACTCAAGATCAGATGGCCGGCCAGAAAAGATCAGCAACAGGGATCTGTGGCAATGAGCGAACCAACCAGGAACCGATTGTGAAACAAATAGGCAGGAAGAAATGGAGATGGATTGGCCATACTCTGAGGAAACCATCAAGTGACATCACTAGACAAGCCATTGCTCGAGTGGAACCCGAAAGCGAAGCGGCGAGTTGATCGTCAATGCAAGGGTGACTTGGAGGAGGTCATGTGAAGAGGAGATGAAAGCGTGTGGGTAGACTTGGAGCGGGGTGAAAAAGTTGGCAGAAAACCGAAGGCAATAGAGACGTGCGGCTGAAGCCCTGTGTCCCACTAGGAATTAAAGAAAATATTAATAATAATTCATGTCACACATTTCCGTTGATGAAGATATACATTTTACACACACACATTAATTAATGAAATATTATTTTTATCTTTAAGAGCCACAAAGATATCCGCAATATTGTTTGCAAAATAACTATTGTACTAATATTTTGTTTAGAAAACAGCATAATTTGTACTTTGTACTTATGAACTGTAATATATTTTATTAAACCAATGAGTTAAAATATAAGAAACTTGTAAATTATTATTAGTGGTATAACTTCACACAACTCAATCCACAATCTTTTCCACAGGTCACAACTTTTAGTCCGAGTATTTATTATTTAATAATAATTTTTCCTTCACGTTCCCGTGGAACATAGGGCTTCAATCTAGTGGCTTGAAGTTTCTGTAGCAGTGTTCATTTTACAGGATGGGTTTGCTAGCCTCATGCCCAACCTTTCCTCTTCACCAGCATCATTTCTGTCTTAGCGAGGTAAAGGAATGCGTCGGCCGAGGATCGAACCTCCGACCATGTGCATGGTAGGCGAGCGTCCTCCTAACCACTATGCCACCGACACACCTTTATTATTTAGGATGAATATATATATTATTATTATCGAGGCAGAGAGGGAGAAAAGGAGAAAAAGTACATGAGACTGATGTAAGAACAGTTCATACAGCATTGATGACATCGGAAAGACTTGAATTTAATTTGTTTACATCAGCTCTAGTACTAGTTATCGCGCACCTAATTATACATAGTACAAATTAAATTCAAATAAACCACTGCTCATTAAATGATAATCGTTTTAGGTTGAAATTCTTAAGTCACGGGTTCGAATCCCGTAGGAGACAGAGTTCTTTCAAGGTGCCAAAAAGCACGAAACTAAGATCCAAAGCTTCCTACCGACTATCTCTAACTATATAATAACTATAATTTAGAGTGCACCATGATGGCAAGCCATATTGCAAACTTGACTGACAGAATTCAGTCTGAACCAAACAAAGGACTAGATGAAGGACACTAGTTACTTACCGCCTAATGGTAGGTCGAGGCCTATAGATGTTGATTAAAATAAATTGCATAATTAACCGTTTACTCCCTGAAGATTTTAGAGACCATTGCAGAGATGAACGAATTTGTTGACAAAGACAACTGATGGATATGCTTCATTTATAGAGTGAAATAAGAATTAGATTTCTATTCAAATCGAATGACCAGTTTCACTACTGTGCAGAGGAGTAAAATGATTCGATCATTTTATATGATAAAATGGAAAAATTATAAAATTAATAATAATAAAACTTAATTATAAAGATATCTTACTAGAAGATCTTTTGCATATCGTATTGCAGCCTTCCATGATTCATAATCAATAGCTGGAATTTGTACTAAGTAGACGTTAAGTTTTCCAGAAATGTTATAATCAATCTAAAATTGTAAATATATATATATATATATATATAAGACGTTATACAAATATTAGGATATTACAAGTTATTATGTTACTTCTAATAGGCATAGAATTACTCACCTTATAATCAACAAATAACTCAAGATATGTCATCTGACCTAATCACACATTAAAATCTAATAACATGTCACATGATATTGAATAAAATTAATCACTCATTAAGCATAGTATATGTGTGTTATATGATTCAGATGCTTTTCTTTTTTTTCACAGCTGAAGAAACGGCAGATATAATAGCCTTTTTTAGTTTCGCCGATGATGGTGATTCATAAACCGCAAGTCATAAACCAAACTAATTAAAATAAGCAAAATTTTATGACGACATAATATTGGTGATATTAGACGGTTGGAAGCAATCGGCCAAAGGAAACTTTGACTAACCAAGGTTTCGTGCTAGTTGGCACTCACCAGTCAGCAAGGCGTACCTGCAAAATTGAAGGAAATCATGTCCTTTCTGAGATTCAAACCTGCGTCACCCAGCGCTGCAGTCAGGGACGTTACCACTGGGCTATTTAGGTTCACAACTGACATCTAACTATTGTCCGATCAGAATATCCAATACAGTCGTCTTACAGGAGGTCAATCACGAACCCGAGTAGCTCAGCAGTAACGTCTCTGACTGCAGCACTGGGTGACGTGAGTTCGGATCTCAGAAGACATGAATCCATTCAAGGTTACAGATACGCATTGCTGACTGGTGAGTGCCAACTAGCACGAAACCTGTCTGTCTGTCTGTTTTCGACATAGAACTTTGCACAAATGTGCGGAAGTTCAAGTCGCCACATTCCGTGTAGCACGCGAAGCAAGAGAAGAAAGTACAAGAAAAGCATAATAGAAACAGTGAGCAGAGGTGTGAGACAAAGGAGTAATAAAGAAATACAAAACAGTTTCATTGAAGATCATAAGTCACAGGGAGTGGATGCATCTGCGCCACTGAGAACGATTTTGAGCCATGTCACCAATTGTTTCCAACCATAGATTTTTACCGTCCCGAGGACCCCAGCCTGGAAGTCTACACCTTCCTACGTGGCTTAGACCAACTGTTGTGGATTTCATTGACTGATGCCAAGTTTTTGTTTGACCGCCGCTAGCTTTTTTCCAGCCTGACCCTATATCCGCTAACATAGCTCGTCGAGGGAGGCGATGACTTGGCATACGTAACACATGTCCTAACCATCTCAGTCGATGTAGCTTCACGACTTCGTCGATTGATTTCCCCTGTTTACCTAGAACTCTACGCCTAACCTCCATGTTGCTCACCTTATTATGCCACTTTACACGGGAAATAGAACGCAGGCACCTATGATCAAAGACAGCTAGTCTTTTCATGTCTTCCACTCTCAGTGGCCAGGTCTCACAACCATAAAGGAGGACGGAGCGGACTGATGAGCAGTACACCCGCCCTTTGGTCGATAGTCGAACATCTCGTCTACGCCAGAGTCGGCGTAAACTAACAAATGCGAAACGAGCCCCTTGTATTCGTGCTGAGATTTCGTCAGAGATCAGCCCGTTGGGGCTGATGGTACTTCCCAAATAAGTGAAGCGGTCAACGTGCTCTACCACTTCACTTCCTATTTTTAAACTAGGCGTCGATGTAGTCCAGTCCTGTAACATCATCTTGCATTTGGCGGGAGCGAATCGCATGCCAAACATTCGTAGATTGCGGCTCAAGGTGTTTAGAAGACTCTGCATTTCGTCAGCGTCTTCGCCTAGAAGGACTATATCGTCTGCATATTCCAAGTCAACGAGATTATTCCCCGGTAGCAAGTCAATTCCTGAGTCGCTGAAGTCACCTAGGGTTAAGTCCATTAACACATCTATGATGAAGTTGAATAGAAAAGGAGATAATGGGCATCCTTGACGGACACCACTGGTCGTCATCAGTTCAGATGACAGCTCGCCGTAAGCCCTCACCTGGCTGTATGAGTACGAATAGAGTGCCTTAATCAGTGCAATATATTTTCTTGGAATTCCCTTTACAGCCAAGCATCTCCAGAGAACTTCCCGATCGACAGAGTCGAATGCTGCCTTTAGGTCAAGAAATATAATGACTGTTGGACGCCGGTAGGAATGCCTATGTTCTAGAATCTGTCGGAGGGTGAAGATATGATCAATACACCCTCTTCCTGGTCTAAAGCCTGCCTGGCTCTCTCGTGTTTGTGCTTCCCGAGCACCACTCAGTCTACGCATGATTATTGAGCCTAAGACTTTAGATACTATATTAGTCAAGCTAATCCCTCTGTGATTATCACAGGAAGACTTGTCTCCCTTCTTGTATATGGGGATAATCAGTGACTTACACCAACCCGATGGGACTTCTTCTGATTCCCAGACGCTGCCTAGTACCTCAGTTAATCCGGACAGTAAGCTGTCTCCACCGTACTTAAATACCTCTGGCGTCATTCCATCAGGTCCCGCTGCTTTGCCTAGTTTCAGATTGGTGACAGCTTTAGTAACCTCAGTTAGTGACGGAGGACCTGTATCTATATCCCATTCAGGGAGGTGGTGGATGGTGGGGAGGTTCAGTGTGGCTGTAGGCAAATTAAACTGCTCCTCAAAATGTTCTTTCCAGCGTTCCAGGCGTCTATCCTGAGAGCTAATTAAGGTGCCATTTTTCTCCGAAATTGTCTCACTTATGATTTGCCTTCTCCCACCCGTTTCCCTGATGAGTCTAAAGAGTTGCCTGGTGTTGCCTATCCTCGAAGCTTTCTCCATCTCTTTGGCCTTTGTCGCCCACCACTGTTCACGGTCCTTGCGGAGACTTTTCGTAAGTTTCCTTTTGTGCAGCTTTCGCTCCTCATTGAATTCGGAGCTCGCCGGAATAAGTCTTCTAGCATCTATCAGTTCGGATGAGGCGGTGGAGATCCAGTGGTTTTTACTCACCTTTGGGTTTACCTTATTCACAGCTTTTACAGCTGTATCTATGGCTGCCTGGATATTTTTCCAAGCTTCTTCAGGGTGAGCACAGCTGTCGAACACAGATATGTGTTTAGCTAGTTCTTCCTCAAATACGGATTTAGTTTCCTGATCGAGCTGGGGACGTGATGGTTTTACCGCCAGCTGTTTCCTACGTCCGTTCAGTCGTAAGCACACCCGAGCGCGGACCAGTGCATGGTCGGTATCTACGCACGTGTTCCAGAAGGAGCGACAATCTCCTACCGACCCACGCCAACGATAGCTTATTGCTATGTGGTCTATTTGTGTCCAGCGTTGGTTTGATGAAGGGGGTCTCCAAGTCAAACAGTGTCTCTCCTTGTGTTTGAAGTTAGTGCTTACAAGAAACAAATGATTATCAGAGCAGAACTGTAGGAGACGGTCACCGTTGTCGGTTCGCTGGCACGGAGCTCCATAGGTGCCACCGACATCCTTCTCAGATTGACACAATTTCCCTACTTGAGCGTTAAAGTCACCAGCTAGAACGACTATGTCTGAGCGTTTAGCCTTTCTCACCAAACTAGACAGCTTTTGGTAGAACTCATCCTTCGTTTCATCTGAACTGCAGTCAGTGGGGGCGTAGGCGGAGATTACGAAAAGGCATCGGCGAGTAGTGCAGTCCTTCCTCCTTCTTACTGATCCGTTCAGGCGGACAGCACACATTCGGCTATCTACCGGGATCCAGTCAAGCAATGTCTTTTCTGCCCTAGTACTCAAAGCTATCCCTACGCCAGCTAATCCTCGTGAACTAGCTGTGGCATCTCCTGACACCCTCAAGGTGAATTTTGCAGATTCAACCTGTTGGCCAGGTGGGGTTAGGTGAATAACCACACTTGGGTCTTGTATGCGTGTTTCTGAAACACAGCATACATCAATGGCTCGTGATGCCAGGGTCTTGGCTAGTGATGCTTGTTGTCCTATTTGGCAAAGTGTCCTAACATTAAGAGCTCCTATATGAAATTGGTGGCGCGGCTTTAAGAGGCTGTCGGTGGTGGTTTTTTGGCTTCCATCGTTTTTAGTGGACGCAGAGTGGAGAGGAAGTGGAGAGCTATCAAGTCGAGGAGTTGCATCAGTGGAAGGAAGGCAAGATGATAGAGATGAAGATGAAGACAAAGATGAGTGAGTAATAGAGAGGTTTCGTGTGCATTTCGGATTGTGAGGGCGATTGTTACTTCCCGGCTGCCCACACCGTGGAAGTTGGTTGCGTGACCGCAGAGCCCAGGGGACAACTGCTTGAGGCCGGTCACACGCGGCCTGTTTTTGTTCGTTCTTTTTTGTTTGGTGTGTCTCAGTAGCATATTTATCACTCCCGCCCTGTGACACGGCAGCAGGAAGCGCGGTCGTTGTTAATCCGGGCCACGGCCGATCCGGCATGAAATTTTGTAATTTTGTATTGGACATGATGTTGGATTGGGTAGCTGCTTTTTGTTTAACCGCTATCCAAACAACCTGCCTGGCATGGTAGAACCTCAAGAGACATAAGTCTCAGCCAGTATAGCTTGATTAGGTCATTGCGGTGTTCAAGCCCGACCACCACGTCAAAGTAGCAGCTTTCGGTCGGGGCACGAAACCTAGGTTAGGCAAGGCTCGCCATCACGGTGTACTCCGATTTGTTGTTATTAGATAGAGGCAATCAGTCACAGGAAGCCTTGCACGAAACCTAGGTTAGGCAAGGCTTCCTGTGACTGATTGCCTCTATCTAATAACAACAAATCGGAGTACACCGTGATGGCGAGCCACATAGTATGTTTGTCACATTGCAAACCTAACTGATAGAATTCAATCTGCAGTAAAAAAGGACTAGACACATTACACTAGTTACCAACTAGTGTCCAATAAAACCGGTGACAATATCTCTTGTCACAAAAGACCAATTGAACTGTTGACGACTTCAGAGACTCAGGGATTGACTTGTTACCAGGGTATAATCTCGTTGACTTAGAATATGCTGGATGAAGACACTGATAAGACAGAGCAGTCTTCTGAACGCCTTGAAGTGCAATCTACGAATGTTTGGCATTCGATTCGCTCCTGTCAAATACAAGATGATGTTACAGGACTGAAATACGTCGACTACTCCTAGGTTAAAAATAGGGAGTGAAGTGGTAGACCACGTTGACCATTTCACTTATTTGGGAAGTTGAATCAGCCAGCCTCAACGGGTTGATCGCTGACGAAATCGCAGCACCGACACAGAAGGCTCATTTTGCATTTGTCAGCTTACACCATCACTGGCTTAGAAGATGTGATATCCGCCTGTCGAACAAAAGGCGTATGTACTATGTACTGGTCAGCAGTTCACTCTGTCCTCCTTTATGCCTGTGAGACATGACAACTCAAAGTAGAAGATATGAAAAGACAAGCTAGCTGTCTTTGACCATAGGCGCACGCATTTTATCTCCCTTTTTGAAGTGGTATAATAGGGTGAGTAATATTGAGGTTAGGTGTCGAGTGATAAGTAAGGAGGGGAAATCAATCGATGAGGCTGTGAAATTACATCGACTGAGATGGTCAACACATGTGTTACGCATCTCTAACCATCGCCTTCCTCGACCGACGGTCAATGTTAGCTAACATAGGATCAGGTTGGAAAAGAGTCGGTAGTGGTGGTCAAACCAAAACATGGCCTCATCAGTCAATGAAATCCACAACAGTTAGTTTAAGCCAGCCATGTAGGAAGGTGTGGACTGGCTTTCTGGTTGGGGTCCTCGGGACAGTAGAAACCAGTAGCTGGAGACAACTGGAGACATGGCTCCAAGTCGTTCACAATGGCTGGAGCAGATGTATTCACTCTGCGTGACTTGTCACATCCAATACAACTCTATTGTTCTTCCATATTATACTTGTGCTCATTATTGTCCTTTATTGTCTCCTCTTGCTTTGTGTGCTACATGGAGTGTGGCAATTCGAACTTCTGCAAATCTGTGTACAGTTCTACGATGAAACCAGTCAGTCAGTAACAGATTTTATATAGAACAATACTAATGAAGGAAAAATCAATCAAAACGTTAAAAAAACTATAAGAATATACTTAAGGTGGATGAAAAGTTGAGAAGCAAGTGTAAAACACCACTTTGATATAACTTAAGTTGTGAACAAGTGAGTGTAAATGTCAAAATTTTAAAAAAAAATGATATTAAATCCTACAACTCCATTTATTTTAAACTTAATTTTATAAACCTTTTTGTTACATAAGAAATAATCTTTACTGACCTTAAGTACATTCTTCCTTGATGTCTGTTCACCGTTTGCTTCACTAATTTCTATTTCTCTTATATTGAATTGAATATCAGGTTTACATTGTGGTTGATTTATTTTCTAATCCAAAAATTGACAGAGAGACACACACAGAGAGTGAGAGAGAGACAGAAAAAATAAAATAATTTTTCAAGGGTAAAAGTAAATCATGTGTTCATTTCCTTTTAAAATGTATCAAATGCCTGTATGCACTTTTCAAAGCATTCGATAGAATCAGTTCACCTTTCTGTGTACGGTTAACACTAGAGTGTGCAAAATACAGCCTATGAAATATATATATATATATATATCAAAATTAGTAAGAATTTTCTCGACATGCCAATTAGATTGAAAACTAAAACAGATACAAATCTAAGAGGTGAAAGGTTTCTATAATCAGTAGAAAAAAAACATGTATATACATACATATAAGCATAGCCAAGGAATATTCGCTACAGTTTTAAAGCCTGCATCTGAATTTATAGCAATTAATTCCCTTTATCAAATAAGAAGACGTAATATTTATCTATTGCGTGTAATGGATTTTGCGAAACACATTTTGGACATTCTTAGCACACATACACATGCATATTTGTACATAAAATGGTAACAGAGTATAAACGATCTATTTGATGAAGTTAGTAAAAAAGTACTTTCACAATTGCGTGTTTGGTCAAATCAATTGTCTGAACAATTAGAACAAACTAACATATTTATCCTTTGATATATATGGTATTTATTATATATTAATTGGTGAAGTATAATCATTATTTTACACACATATTAGAGTCCTACATAATGTTAAATACATATTCATAGGAAAGTAGACTTCAACTGAATTACAAATGAAATTTTTTTTCAAGATTCCTTTACGTTCCCAGTGGGCCATAGGAGGCTTCAAGCTAGAGCTTTGAAGTACCGATAGCAGTGGTATTTATTTTTACGGGATGGGTTTGCTAACCTTAATGCCCAACCTTCCCTCTTTGCCAGTCTTATTTACTGGCTTAACGCGAGGTAAAGGAGTGCATCGGCCGGGGATCGAACCCTGAACCGCTTGCGTGTTTGACAAGCATTCTACAAACGCACAAATAAAATTAGTTGATGGCATTCAACAGGCAGAAAGCTTAAACACAGTTTTTCTTTATTGAGCATTTCTTCGTAATTACACTTTCAGTAGCTCAGACGTTCTACATGGCTACAATCTACCGAATTCAATATAATCATTCAAGTGTTGGTTTGTAGGGATTTGATTGGTTTACAGGATTCCATCATGAGCTGACATTAGTTATAGAACCACTGGAAAACCTGCAGGGAGTACTGGACAACTGTTTCGCCCTAGTTTGAGATTCTTCAGCGGTGCGCACCCACAGGGATTCGAACCCAGGACCTTCTGGTTGCAAGGCGAGCTCGTATACCATTAAGCCACTGGGACCCGATCCAATGACCCATGAATTCTAACTTCTGCCAATTCACGACATAGCGCGACCCCTAGCCTAATAGTATACGAGCTCGCCTTGCAACCAGAAGGTCCTGGGTTCGAATCCCTGTGGGTGCGTACTGATGAAGAGTCCCAAACTAGGACGAAACAGTTGTCCAGTACTTTCAGGTTTTCCAGTGGTTCTCTAACTAATGTCGGCTCATGATAAAATCCTGTAAATCAATATGATCAGTTGTTAAATGAAAATTTTAACTACAAATAATCACAATGAATTAATATCTAATACACCAAGATGTTTAATTCACTAGCTTTTCAAATATTGTAAAAAAAAAAGATTATCTCGAACAGTATATTTTGAAGTAATCGTTAATACAGATTAGCACATGGTTGCTGCAATTCGAAGTGGTTTGTGTGTCTGGAATGCTATACATTAGACACAAACGCATAATATTTATCATAACTCTCTTTGTTTCCAAATTCTTCTATAATGCCTTTCACAAATCTATATCAATAAACTATATATATATATATATATATATATATATATATATATATATATATATATATATATATATATATATATATATATATATATATATATATATATATATATATATATATATATATATATATATATATTTTAACAGAACACAAGATCTATAAGACTACCTTTTTTTCTCTTAAAGTTCACAAAAATGAGACAAACTTTATGATCTCATAATATTTGAATGACTGGTATCAGTGGAAAAAAAAGATTAGTGTTACAAATTTCACAAACAAGCACTAAATTTCACACAGAAAACAAAACGGTAACTATAGAGAATAGCAACCAAACTAAGACAAACAACCAATCGAATGGGTCTCGTAAAAAAAACAGGCATTTATTTCTCAAGAGAGAATATAATTAGAGCAAATGAATACAACAAAAGCGACTTAAAGTGGATAAAATATCTCCCAATAGCTCATAGGAGTAGTTAATTAGATTATCTCAAACCACTTTCTACACACAAATTCATCTAAATAACTGTATATCAATATCTGTTTGGGATGAACTCGGGTATCCCCAGATAGATTTCAACTCAATCTCAAGACAGTGGAGACGCACCCAGCTGGACATTAAATAAGGAAGAGGAGCAGATTATTATCTAATTCAAGGAACCATCAAGGTTTGAAACGTTTGAGCTTCAGTGGGAAGATCATCAATCACTGGGAAATGTGAGTATATTCAACCGGAGAGTCATAAATAGAACGAAATGCGCATCCTGGATTCCAATGTTAGTCACTATCCACTAAATTACTTCAGACATTAATCCTCAGAGATCATTGAAGCGTGTGCACTAGAAGCCGACATGCCAGTAGAGGCCGAACATTTCAGTCCAATCAATCAATCAACGAGGAAATCAATATTGAATTGAAAATAACAAGTCATCTGTCTTTTTTTTACGAAAATCAAAAAATGTAGGTCCAAAAGACAGCTCTTAAAGTTGTGATTTGTCAAGAGTTAAGCCGGAAAAGTTATGGACATACCTTTCAGAGTAAGGGTGAAATCAAATGCATAAAAAGTTCAATTCTATCATACATTGTGGATAGGCATATCGCATATACCACATTCCGAAGTCATTGTCACTCACAGTTCGCCTACGTCTTCTACACGTAGCTGATTTATTTATTTATTTAAACGCAGAAAAAACTTGGTACAGTATGGCACCAAGAAGGATGCCCCACACAATAATAATAAAACAACATAGATCAAAGAAGGGAAAGAAAAAAAATATAAGTAGAGAACGGATAAAGAACTTCATCTGGAAGGAAGACAGTCATGCTTAACAAGTTCAGTGTTCGTTAACTATCATCGGGAAGGGAAGAAAGAAGGAAATTGCAACACGTTCGCCATTGATTACGATTCTTGGCCATATCCGATAACGTTTCGAGCCATCGATTTGAGCTATCTCTCAGACCCCAACCAGGGAGTCGTGACACACCAACCAATGCTAATCTAGCACAAAAATCCTCCATCCCACAACGCCACATCATGGACTGACCACCTCTCCGCCTTTTCCATCCCGTCCCAGGGCTAGCGAACAGAGACCTGTACGGAAGCTTCTGGGGTGACATTCGCAACACATGTCCAAGCCACCGGAGTTGGTGTTTCTAGATGACGACATTCAATGAATGGTGATCTCTACTGTGTTCAAACACACGCCGCCGAACCTCAGAATTACTCACGCGATGATGCCATCGAATGCAAGCAATCCTGCGGAGACAGCGGTGGTCGAACACTCAGAGTCGCCGCACATCCTCAGCTCGGAGAGGTCAGGATTCACGGGCGTAGAGCAGGGCAGCCCGCACCGAAGCATTGTATACCCAACCTTTGACACCCAGGCTAACGTCGCGCGGCGTCAGAGGTGGCTCAAGTTGATGTATGCCACCCTAGCCATCATTATACGGTTGGAAATCTCATCTGTCACCCCTTCGCCAGCACTCACACAACTACCCAGGGTACACAGACTTATCAACAACTTCAAGCGGTTCACCTGCAAGAGTGAGTGCAGGTACAGGCTCCTGCCAATCTTGTAACAGTACTTTGCACTTAGACGGCGCAAAGCACATACCATACTTACAGACACTGATCGCCAACTGATTAAGTGCGATTTGGGCAGCCTACATGCTATCGCACAGTAAGACGACATCGTCTGCATACTCGAGGTCGAAAAGTCTATCTCCAGGTAGCAGATCTACACCATCTTCACGCACATCCTTCAGAGCTGACTCCAGAATGTCATCGACGGCAAAGTTAAAGAGAAATGGAGATATTGGGCAACCCTGTCTGAAGCTGAAGCTGTTGTAATCAGATAAACTAAACCTGAATCGTGTTTTCAAAATAAAAACCTGTGAAGTAAAGACAAAACTGGTTACCTGTTATCACTGATGATATTCCTAATTGTGGTGGACTGGATTATGTGTGAGATCACGGATAGCGAGAAGACAGGAATACACTGGACGGAAAAGAAGACTCTACAAGATCTGGATTTCCCAGATAATATATGTCTAATATTACACAAACTTGCAGACTTAAAGGCGAAGTTCAACAAAGAAACAAACAAGACAGGACTTTAAGTGAACATAGAGAAGACAGAGGTGATGAAGGTAACCAACCAACAATAACAAGCACTAATTACTATCAACAGGAAGAACTTGACAGCAGTTACTTCCTCAAATTATCTAGGCAGCATCGTTCCAGCTATAGGCAGCAGGGAGGACGAGGATTTCAAGGATGGAATCAGAAAAGCAAGGCACACATTCATCATCTCCACGGAATCAGTTTAGAAATCTTCTGCACTCAGCAAAAAGAACAAAATCCGGATTTTCAACTATACTGTTCACTGTCAGTTCTTCTATATGAGCCTGAAACGTGACGGTGATTGCTAAAGATAAAAATTGCATGACACGATTATCGTCATCAATTCATTGATAAGGGACTGTAAACATACTGTTTAAAATACCAGTTCAGTTGATTCAGCTTCTCTGCCACTTATCAATATAGATATATTTTGAATATTATGTCTTTCACAACAAACTTACTTTTGTCGCAAAATACATCAGATGGTATGAGTAGGCGAAAAAAGCCACAGACAATCACAATCTAATGTAAGTTCAAACGAACTATTACTCATAGAGTCTCTTGATGGTATCATCAATGAAACTTATTGTACGATTTAATTGAATACAACTACATGAACTTGCAGCCACATAAAATTGAACTCTAGATTAGCGAAAAATGGACAATCACCTTATAATAAATTTCATTACATTTGCAGTTCCACTTCCGGCAAAGGATTCAGATGTAGAACACTTGACAGTAAGAACTTAACATAACATATCACTTCAAATCAAATGGAATATAAACTTTTTTTTAATTATTGATCTCATTTTTCAATGATGGCGAGAACATCAAGACATGAGATTTACACAAATCAATACTAAAATCATAAAGATAAGTTATTGAGAAACAAAAAAACAGTTACATCATCTTACGAAATAGGAAAATAATCGAAAACTTGAAGTTAATTTACTTACAGATAAAATAGTCTTATTATCTTTGTATATTAGAAGTAATGGACCAGAGAGAAGTAAAACACCAGGAGTCCATTTTTTCGATATTCGTTTGTCATTTTCAATTAATATAGTACGGATAACTGAACCACGTCGTTCAAAATGCTTCAAGTGATGATAATAATAAAAACATATCACTCAATATGATAATGATGAAACACTAAGTAACTATAATCCATTATCTATTAAATTTAGGTGAAATTACGGTAACCAAAAAAATAAAAACGTGACACAAGTGTAAGAATCGGTTCACGCTATTACTGTATTTTATTTTAGTCTAGGACTACCTGCCTGACTGACTGGTTTCAACGTAGAACATTGCACAGATGCGCAGAAGTTTGAGTTGCCACACTCTCCTCATGTAGTACACAAAGCAAAAGAAGAGAGAAGAGATAATAAACAGATGTCTGAGAGGTAAAAGAATAGTAATATGGCAGAACAACAGAATTCTACTAGATATTATCAATCACAAAGAGTGAACGCGTCTGCGTCAGCCAATGAGAATGATTTTGAGCCATATCACTAATTGTTTTCAGCCTTCATTGGTTCCTACTACCCCGACGACCCTAACGAGGAAGTCTACACCTCCCTGTATGACTTAAACTTACTGTCAGTCTAGGACTTATCATACAATTCATCCAAACTGAAGTAAAATCAGCTAAAATACTTCAAAATTTTGTTTAAATGAACAGCAAGATGATAGTAAGAACAAAATGATAACAGATAAAGCAAAAATTACCACCCTTAACAGATATGACTATCAATATACATGACTATATAACTATCTCCAGTGTGAAGTGGCATAATAAGGTGAGCAATATTGAGGTTAGGCGTCGAGTTCTAGGTAAACAGGGGAAATCAATCGACGAAGTTGTGAAATTACATCGACTGAGATGGTTAGGACATGTGTTACGTATGCCTAGTCATCGCCTTCCTCGACGGGCAATGTAAGTTGACATAGGGTCAGGCTGGAAAAAAGCTAGCTAGTGGCGGTCAAACAAAAACATGGCACCAGTCAATGAAATCCACAACAGTTAGTCTAAGCCAGCCACGTAGGAAGGTGTAGACTTCCTAACTGGTTGGGGTCCTCGACACGGTAAAAACCAATGGTTGGAAACAATTGGTGACATGGCTCAAAATCGTTCTCAATGGCCAGCTCAGATGCATCCACTCCTTATGATTTCCAATGAAGCTGTTTTGTTCTTCGTTATTACTCTTCCTTTTTCTCATACCTCTGTCTACTGTCTCTATTATGCATTTCTTGTACTTTCTTCTCTTGCTTTGTGTGCTACATGGGGTGTGGTGACTTGAACTCCCGCACATATGTGCAAAGTTCTATGTCGAAAACAGACAGACAGACCTGCGGTCTTCAATTACTCGGCTATGATTGTCCTTGGGTCAAAAAAATATGCTCCTAAACCTCTCTCACGTGGCTTTCAACCACCAAATGTTGTGCATTTCTCGAAGGAGACAAAGAAGAAATATCACATGGGATTGGTTTTTGCTTCAGGTCAGACAGACAATGTGTTACGCAATTTACTTGAATATCTCCGACAATAGGGGAACTATAATGCAATAATTCCCTCTGAACATTCTGTACACTAGATAAACACTGCTCAGAACGCTTTTTTTCTTAATACTTTACTTTTTAACTGGAAGTGTTACGGTTATTAAATCAGCTTCAAATTTTCTTTGACATATTTATTACACATGTGAATACAGCTTGGCAGATTTGTACTATTCGATTTAGTCAGACAGACATTTCAAGTTATTCCTTTTTTAAGAGTTGATCACGGATTGATATCAGTTAGAGAACCATGGAAACCAGCACTGGAGTACTGGACAGCTGCTGTTTCATCCCACTAGTTTGGGAATCATCGGAAGTACGCACCCACTGGGATTCGAACTCAGGGCCTTCCGGTTACAAGACAAGCTGGCTCGTATACCATTCAGCCACTGGGACCCGATTCAATGGCCAACCCATGAATTCTAACTTCTACCAATTCGTGATATCAATCCGTGATCAACTCTTAAAAACATAACTAACCCTTGCAAACCAAACTATAGAAAATTAAACTGATGCTCGCTAGTGACTTACTACAGGCTGGAGTTTCCTGAGTTCTAGTGAGAAGTCGTGACCAGTGAGGTCCAATTAGATGTCACGTGTATGGATGGATGTCCCATCAACGACAATGGTTGGGGTCGCGCTAAATCACGAATTCGTGGAAGTTAGAATTCATGCGTTGGCCATTGAATCGGGTCCCAGTGGCTGAATGGTATACGAGCCAGCTTGTCTTGTAACCGGAAGGCCCTGAGTTCGAATCCCAGTGGGTGCGTACTTCCGATGATTCCCAAACTAGGATGAAACAGCAGCTGTCCAGTACTCCAGTGCTGGTCTTCAATGGTTCTCTAACTGATATCAATCCGTGATCAACTCTTAAGAACATGACTAACCCTTACAAACCAAACTATAGAAAATTATTCCTTTTTGTAATATTTCAACCAAAATTACTGCCCATGAATAAATCAGCTGTTTGTATTTTGCTCGAAATATTACCAAAATAAAAAAGATTATCATTGTGTGTAAAAATACCCACTGAAATACAATTATAATTAACTGATCTCTTCTTTAATGCATAATCTTTTCACATAATATTTCATGTTGGTGTTCAGTATGCGAATAATATTCCCATATTAGTATATTAGAAATGTACTTTAATCTAAGTCTATACCTTGAATGATTAACCCACTTAAGCATAAGCCTTTCTTAAATACAGATTATCAATCACAATATTTAGTTATATAAGATAAAAAGTTCATCAGTGACTAAGGCTATACATTTTGCACCAAAAATTCGTGTGAATTTTAAGATAGAATGCACCAATAAAACAGTCCAAAAGTCAATTTCTACTAAAAATTTAAAAGACTTTAAGTCAAATTCTTTAATAGACGAAAAAAGTGTACTTAAGTCAGTAATAATACAGTAAGATTATCTACCTATCTCGATTATCACTGTTGTCATTATTTACTCACTGAGTTCCCTATGAATTACATCACCTTAATCGCACTCTGTGCTTTGCCGTCATTTTCAACTGGCTCCACGACTACCCTCAAGTATCCATTTTATCTTTACACGATCCCCATGTCTTCCATAGACGCCCAACTCATCGCATTTCATTCAGGCTTCACTCTATATCCTGGTGTGTAATATCACAAGAATGTCTCCTAAGTATATGTATAGTTCATCTCCATTTTCTCATGCATACCTGTTGGACAATAAATTCCTGACTAATTCGATACCTACCAGAGTTCCTTATTATATATCCTTTCATGGTGACCATCTGAAACCCTCGTAATGAAAGTCTGCAGCAACCAATTAGAAGTGGTTTTGATGACGAGCGCATCATCTGTCTAAAATATAAAGAAGTACTGATTTGACTTTATTCATTTCTTACGTTGCCAGCGGAACACAGGAATTCAGGCTTTGACGTTTCAGTAGCGATGGTGTTGGTTTAACTGCCTGGTGTTGCTAGTCTCATGCCCAGTCTCCCTGGACTTACTAATAGCTTGTAAACTAGGTAAGGTTTAGCAGTGAGTCATCGGGAATCGAACACTGACTTAGAGAGTGACTGAATAGCATTCTATCATTGAACCATCAACATTAGTGTTACAAATTCGGATCGTGTTCCTTGTGCAAAGCGATCCACCTATCGAGATTTGAACAACCAGATAGTATCACTAGTCCTTACGCAACAGGTGCGGCATATTGACAACTGCACGCAACCGCAAGTGGTAACATTTCATTTTTTCATTTTCTTTTGATAAGTGGTGTAGATCTCCACACTGGTTTTGGAGTAATACACGCCTGTCTAGATTTCCCAATTCTATCCTGGCTGACTTTGACGTCCCTGTCGAAATAAATATATAAACAGTGATACGACAAGCCCACTGTTTCATCATGATTGCCGAAATTCGCCAACCACCCATGGCATTCAAAATTCAGGAGGTGATTACGAAGTCGGATATCACACAAAACCGAAGATTTACAAGCGAAAACCGACAAACCGGTCGAAAAAGCAGCCGGCGAAGACAGGACTCCAGGTGAACATAGACAAGACGGAGGTTATGGAAATAACCAATCACCCAACAACAACAACAGCAGCAACATCCAGCGCCAATCACTATCAACGGGAAGGATTTCAAAGAGGTTACTTCACTCACTTATCTAGGGAGCATTGTCTCAACTACATGAGGAACGGACGACGATGTCACATCAAGAATCATCGGGAAGGCGAGAAACACATTCATCAACCTGAAACCAATCTGGAAGTCTTCATCACTCACCATCAACAACAAAATTCGGTCGGATCTTCAATACAAACGTCAAGTCAGTCAGTTCTTCTATACGGATCAGAAACCTGGCAGGTCACAAAGAATATTTCCAACAGCTTGTTAAAGACCTTCATGAACCAACAACTGTCTTCACTGGCTCTATACTGAAGATCAGATGGCCGGGCCGGAAAGAATCACCAACAAGAAACTATGGCTGGGAACAAACAAAACAAGAACCAATCGCCAACCAACAAATATGCAGGAGAAAGTGGAGATGGATTGGACACTCGCTGAGGAGGCCGCTGGGTGACATCGCGAGTCAGGCCCTCGAATGGAACTCGAAAGGGAAGCGGAGAGTGGGACGTCCATGGGTGACATGGAGGAGATCGTGTGAAGAAGAGTTGAAACAGTATGGACTAACATGGATGCAGGTGAAAAGTACAGCAGAAGACAGAAGCAAATGGAGACGTGCAGTTGAAGCCCTATGTTCTACCAGGAACCCAAGGGAACAATAATAATAATACGAAGTCGGACTGGTTACATTTAGTACAGGGTGTAAAATTAATAACCCGCATTTACAATTATAAGTTTGGCAACTGCTTCCAAAAAAACTGTTATTAGAAATCTCCACTTGATATGATTATGAGCAATAAATTGTGCTCGAAAATTAATAGTAGTGTAAAAATTCCATTATGCACAAGTTTTATTCTTATATCAGCAGTGAAAAAAAAACACATAAGATTTTAAAATGAGCATACCGTCAGTTTATTTTCATGCGGTCCACTGATATGTTCCTTGCTTAGGTTCTTCATTTGAAAACGTCCTGTTCCTTGTTCGCCATCGTCAAGACTTACTAAGCTGAAAGGTCTGCTCAATACAGGTGTTGGAGAAACTTCAACCGATGAATTAGAAATTCTATTTGACTTGAAAAGAATTTAAGAACATAATTAATTCTAAATGAAATAAATTTTTGAAAGTCTCAAAATTACGCATTTACTTGTTAGCATTGAAAATTGCTAATACAATTGTCTGTAAAAAGCTTCAAAAATGATTACTAAGCAAACAGTCTTTATCATCAAATTTCCAAACAATGAGTTACCATTCAGCTATATACACAGGGAATTCTATTCAGAAGGCTACAACTACATTTATTTTAAGGTCGTCGATCTTCTACGTCGTGACATGCCAACAATTATTTACTTCAGATGTTTTTAAAAGTTAGAATTACTAATTATTTAGTGATTAGTTCAGTCATCGAAAAGTTTCGTTAGAAGTGTGTAACATGATCGATTCATTGACGACCTGCAATGAATGATTTATCATAGGGTTTCTACACTAAGTATAAATAGTCTGCAACGCAGACTAACCAGGTTATAAAAGGCAGTAAAGCTTTAGTGGCTTATTTGAAACTACTATTTGTAGACAAACTGATTCTAAGTAGTCTTAAGCGAAGTAAAAGTAAGGAAAGCTTATAAATAAAAAGGACGATGCTTTATGTGATGACAGTGAAAAACGTCATTTCACGAAATTGATGTCAAAAACAAAACCAACATGTCGACGTTAAGTTAATTTGATATCCTTAAGAAACTAAGCTGAGGAGAAAGATGCGGTTGGGTAAAACTATCACAATTAAAACATTTTCTTAATGATATACTGTTAAGGCACTCAGCTAGACTGACTAACTGTTTCTCTGTTACCCAACAAATGCATGATGTAATCCCAAATAACATTTAACAAAATTCTACAGAAAATGGAGTGAAGGGAAGCAGACACTAGCGTACTCCTTACAAATCTTTTTTTATAGATGATAGTGCAGAATTACAAATCACACTAGTTATTGCCTTCAATGAAGATAACCCAATATAGTACTGTAATATGTCCCAGATTGTTTTATTTTGCATTATTGACAATGTTAATCTAACAATTTCGCCAATGCATTAACCAAATATAGCTTATCTAATCAAGACATGTTATCAAGCCAATTAGACATGTAAGATTATGAGTAAACTAGAATGTGAATACACTCTATGTTTCTCTGAAAGTGTCATTTTATGGTACTATTTAAGATCAATTCTGATCAATAATTGTTGTGCAGCGTCCTACAACATAAAAATAATAATCGGTAAATTCTAAAACTCGAATTTTCGGCAAGCAATCTATGAATTCCTGTGATGTGATCAAGTTAATCTAGTGTAAAAACTGATGGTCTATAGGTTAATCTAAGAAAACAGAACTAAGACCAACTCATATTCAGTCTAGTTAGCAACTCAATATTACGAATACTAAGTTTTATCCGCTATAAACTACACTATAAGTATTAAAATAACACAAAAGATGTCATCGGGCGCACGCGAAGTAAACAAGCAATCAGAAAAACAAATTTGGGTTCATTATAGATTGTTACTGGTGTAGTTCCCAGAATAGCCTTTATAGACAATTGTTAGGAACAGAAAGTATTTCAAGTTTGATCACAGATTGATGTCAGTTAGGTAACCACTGAAAACCAGACAGTACTGAACAGCTGCTTCGTCCCAGTCTGAAACTTGTCAGCAGTACAGCACGTACCCACTGGGGTTCGAACCCAGGATATACCAGTTACAAGACAAGTTTATATACCAATCAGTCAATGAGACTCGATCAAACGGCCCATGAATTCCAACTTCAACTAAATTCATGATTTTAGTGCAACCATTTGCCAATGTCATAAGCGAGTATATTTGATCTCAGACCCAACCGGGTGGATCCCACTAGTCACAACTTCTCGCCAGAACTCCAGGCAACTTCGTCCTGTAACCAGTCACTGGTGAGCATCAGAAACAAAGAAGAAAGTATTTATTAGAAAACCAGGCACTTAGCTGAAGTATGCAACGGTGCTAAAAGTTGCACATACAAGTGCTGACAGAGAATTTGAAATAATTTTTGATAGAATTTAACTATGTTTATGTGTCTTTTTTAATGTCATTTCTCCTTGAATGTATTGATTCGTAGTACCACTATATTCATTTAAGTGAAACATAAACTTGGTATGGTTTAAAGAATGATGAATATATCATGGTTGGGTTACTATACAAGTGTTTTGTCTAGGTTTGTAGCTGTTTAACATCACGTGTTTAACAATTGCCTGGCTGCTGCTGTCACTTGACATAGATGACTGAAAAGTTTTAGTCATTGTCTAGATTATGCATTCGTGTTTGAGACGCTAACATGTAAACTAAAAATAATGATCACAGCATTATTGGTAATTCATTATTTGATTGGATGGAGGACTTCATCATGAGCTGACATCAGTTAGAGAACCACTGGAAAACCTGCAGGGAGTACCGGATATTTGTTTCGCTCTAGTTTGGGACTCTTCATCAGTACGCCCCCACCGGGATTTGAACCTAGGACCTTCTGGTTACAAGGTGAGCTCGTAGACCATTGAGCCACTGGGAACCGATCCAATGGCCACCAGTGAGTTTTAAAATGACCATTTATAGAGAGAAGTTGAAACACCTAATAACCTTATAAATATACTTGCAGTACATACCATTAAGTACAAGCTTTCAGGACATCACTGTAAAATAATTATGTTTTTCTTGTATTCTAATGTCATATAAACAAAGTTATTAAAAACGACGATGAAGATAACTTGGAGACGGACACAATTTAGAAGGCTTATTATTGTATAAGGTTGAAAACTCAAATATAAGCATTATTAACTTCACTGAACTGAAGAGTACTGTTTTATCAGATGAAAAGTTATACTCATACAGAAACACAAAACGAAGTAAAACTCTTGTTTCTGTGGTATTTCTTGCCAAGAATTTGTGGAACTTATTGTAATTATTCGCCTTTCGAACACTGAATCTGTGGATATAATCTTGCTGACTGATAATGCCTATAACCATCTGCTAGTCTTTTTGTGACTGTCTAACACTAACTAATATCTATAATTGTATATATTGATGGATTTACATGTCTAAGTTGGCTCAAGTCAGTGAATCTATGATTTTGGTATCATTTTTGTTAACTGTATCTGACTGTGATACTACTTCTAAGGTTATTTTATTTTTTATTGTTGTTGCCTCTGCCCTTCCTGTTGTGAATTATTTCCCTTTTGCTGGTGTTGTCCTGATTGCTCTGTTCTTTGTTTTCCTGATTTTAAGGGGAGCAACCCACAAGGTCACTTCTCTCTAAACTATATTTTAGTGTAACAACCCCCTTTTCTCAGACTTGAGGCTAGAAACCCCCACCTTGTAAATAAAGTTGTTACAGAAACTTCAGCACGATGAATAATCCCCTCGCGCCAATAGAAAAAGTCTTTGTAGAGATATGGAACGTCCGCACCATGTACGAGATTGGCAAAGCTGTCCAGATTGCAGACGAGATGAAAAGTATTTAAATTATCTAACACCAATTACCTTTTTGGTTTTGTTCATTATTCTCCGTTTAACTTCACCTGTACTTGAAAGTTTAGACATAGATGGATATTCATCAATAACAGAGACATGATCTTCATCATCTCCATCTATTGAATAATTGAAGTCATCACAGGCAGGATTTTGTCCATTACTATCTAGATAATTATTTAATGAATCAGATAAATATGATGTGTCTGTATTTGTTGTTGTTGTTGTATCTAAATCTTCAAGGGTCCACACTGAATGACGGCTGTTCAATTCGTAATAGTAGGTTTTGCCGTATTGATCAGTTGCTGGAATCCACTATGAATTTTATAATGAATGAGAAAATTAAATCTGAAGATAGGAGACTCAGAGAGAAAATACATATAAAAAATGGACATATTTCAAACAGTACACCTGAGTCGGTGGCACAACGGTTAGGACACTCGCCGACCATACACATGGTCTGGGGTTCGATCCCCGACCGACTCACTCCTTTACCTCGCTAAGCCAGAAATAATACTGGTAAAGAGGAAAGGTTAGGTATGAGGCTAGCAACCCCATCCTGTAAAATAAAACACTGCTACAGAAACTTCAAGCCATTAGCTTGAAGCCCTATGTTCCACTGGGAATGTAAAGCAAAAAAAACACCTGCCAGCACAGACCGCCCAATGAGGAAACCTATACAAAAAATGCATTATTTCAATCTGCTGAATTTTGAAACAGTACACAGAAAGACTGAGACAGAACAAACAAAACACCTTAGTGTGAAAGAAGAGATTTTCGAAGTTTTGACAGCAAAATGTGAACACACACCTACAACATTGTGAACGAATTAGAAGTACAACTAGTCAGGAACTGTAAAGATTTGTGTCATCTGTTGGTTTGATTACTGGTGACTTTTTTTCAGCCTAATTCTATTTCAAGTAACAACATTCCTCGTCCAGTGGAGAAATAATGCACAAAATATGTTCTAATCAGCTAACAATGAGTGAAGGTTAGCAATCTCATCATTATTTGACATTTAGCTAGATTTTTATCCTAATTACTGTTGTCTCTGCTCAGTGTTTCTCTGTTTGTTTTATGAAACTTTCAACTTTTGGAAATCATATTAGCAGGAACCAGGTAACCTGAAAGATATAAATACAACTGAAACAATTTTTATACCTCCAACAATGTTGTTCTTTTTTGTCGAATACCTGTTTCTCAATGTTTACATTTTCACTTTCTTAAATTAAGGATTAAGTTTGACTGAATTAACATGCAATGAGGAAAAAGTAAGAATACACAACATTTTATTATTATTCCCATGGGTTCCGAGTGGAACATACGTCTTCAACCACACATCTACACTTTGCCCTATCTTCTGCCGTCCTCTTCAGCTGGGTCCACGACTGCCAATAATCTCTTATATCCTCTTCGCACAATCTCCATGTCACCCTCTAACCAATGGCCTACCCATCGCTTTTCATTGGGATTCCACTAGAGCGATGGCCTGCATTGCGTGTGATGTCATTCGACGGCCTCCTCAATGTACACCCAAACCATCTCCATTCTCTCCCAAATATTCATTGAGCGATTGGCTCTTGGTTGGTTTGTTCCAAGTCAGAGTTTCTTGTTACTAATTCTTTCTGACCAGTGAAGGCAGCTGTTGATAAAAGTCTGCAACCTGTTGGGAATGCTTTACGTGACACGCAGTGCAAGTTTCTGACCCGTATAGAAGAGCCAACTGACTTCACATTTGTGTTGAAAATCCGAATCTTGTTCTTTATGTTGAGGCAGAGTGCGGAAGATTTCCAAACTAGTTTCAGGTTGACGAAGGCATATTTTGCCTTTCCAATTCTGGCTTTGACACCTTTATCCGTCCCACCCATAATTGGAACGATGCTTTCTAGATAAGTGGAGGAAGTAACCTCTGTTAAATCTCTCCGGTCGATTGTGATTGGTACTGTTTGTTGGTGTTGTTCCGGTTCGCTGGTTATCTTCATAATCAACATTTTGCGAGTTGAAAAAAAAACACACCAAAACTTTCGAACTTACTGTTTCATCAGTTTTTTCGTTAATATACATTTCTTGACCGTTGTTTTTATAATGGCGCCAACGAACTCCATTAGATGATTGATTGTTTGGTGAAGCCTGAGGAAGTACATTTTCCTGAAGAAAAAAAATGCATACAAACATGAATACAAGAAGTTAGACCATTGAAACGATTGAAAGAAAATAGTCATTATTCAAAGTGAAGAATTACAAATTTTATGATTATTTAAGGATGGAGAAAAGAGGTTGCACAGTCTAACAGTTCAATTCTCTGGAACTGTTTTATTAGAAATTATGACGCCTACCAAAGGATTACTCATTTTTATGCACATATTTTTCAGGAATACAGCAAATACTTACGATTTCAAATGATAGTATTAGTTGACAGCATAAGAGTTATTGTTAACTATAAGAGGTAAGTTTGTCACTACGATTATCATTTTTATTCATATAAATGACACTGTCTGCAAGGATGACAACAAAGGAAATCAAATACACTATGCTATTAATGTGATTTTTTACAAACTATATTAACCTGCTAAAACCGAAACATAAGCACCAAAAGAAATAATACCTATTCGGGTGAAAATAGTTTACACCTGAAAAAGCTTGCCGTTAATAACTAAGTGTATCGGCTTTCATGACAAACAACTACTATAACACCTATTATACACCCACTGAATGCTATTCACTCGCTGTTTTGTTATTTCTCGATTATATGTCAATAAACGCTGCTTTCTAAGAGAAAAGACATAACAGTATTTTTAGACTATGAAATCTGTTGCTTTCGGTCGTTTTACTTTTTCAATAGTTGAAGTTCAGTGAATTAAATTGAGAATCAGAACTGTGACGACTACAACAACAACCACAGAAAAACCTCTGTCTGTCTCTTTTCAACACAGAACTTTGCACATATGTGCGGGAGTTCAAGTCACCACACCCCATGTAGCACACAAAGCAAGAGAAGAAAGTACAAGAAATGCATAATAGAGACAGTAGACAGAGGTGTGAGAAAAAGGAAGAGTAATAACGAAGAACAAAACAGCTTCATTGGAAATCATAAGGAGTGGATGCATCTGAGCTGGCCATTGAGAACGATTTTGAGCCATGTCACCAATTGTTTCCAACCATAGATTTTTACCGTGTCGAGGACCCCAGCCTGGAAGTCTACACCTTCCTACGTGGCTGGCTTAGACTAACTGTTGTAGATTTCATTGACTGGTGCCAAGTTTTTGTTTGACCGCCACTATCTCTTTTCCAGCCTGACCCTATGTCAGCTAACATTGCCCGTCGGTCGAGGAAGGCGATGACTAGGCATACGTAACACATGTCCTAACCATCTCAGTTTTTGTAACTTCACGACTTCGTCGATTGATTTCCCCTGTTTACCTAGAACTCGACGCCTAACCTCAATATTGCTCACCTTATTATGCCACTTTACTCGGGAAATAGAACGCAGGCACCTATGATCAAAGACAGCTAATCTTTTTGTTTTCCACTCTCAATGGCGAGGTCTCACAGCTGGCCATAAAGGAGGACGGAGCGGACTGATGTGCAGTACACCCGCCCTTTGGTCGATAGCCGAATATCTCGTCTACACCAGAGACGGCGTAAACTGGCAAATGCGAAACGAGCCCTCTGTATCCGTCCTGAGATTTCGTCAGAGATCAGCCCGTTGGGGCTGATGGCACTTTCCAAATAAGAGAAGCGGTCAACGTGCTCTACCACTTCACTTCCTATTTTTAAACTAGGAGTCGGCGTAGTCCAGTCCTGTAACATCATCTTGCATTTGGCGGGAGCGAATCGCATGCCAAACATTCGTAGACTGCAGCTCAAGGTGTTCAGAAGACTCTACATTTTGTCAGCGTCCTCGCCTAGTAGGACTATATCGTCTGCATATTCTAAGTCAACGAGATTATTCTCTGGTAGCAAGTCACCTCACCATCTGGTAGAAGTAAATAGTGAACAATTTAACATGATTGACGAAAAATTCACTCAAACATATAGGTATTACTTCTTTAGTAAGACTAAATGAAGCGGAAAAGATAACATTTTCCATCTTGATGGACCAATCTGGATACAAACGCAGTTATCAGATGCAAAAGCCCTACACTTTGCTGTCAACTTAATAATATTTGTCGAAACGATATTACGGGATTCGCAAATTAGTCCTACGCTCATACACGTGAACATGAAAACATATTGGAGAAAATAAATTCTTCTGCATACATATAGCCAATGAAACGAAATATTATGATTTTATATGCCTAATATAGGATTCTACACAGGAAGTATTTATATCCCAATAATAGAGAGTATAATTGCAGTCAAATATTTTAGAATACAAAAAATATGGCATCAACAGTAAAAGTATTTCAAATGAAAATTCAAGTTGAAAACCTACTTGTATAGGACTTCCTTTCGCATGCTCTCCTGTATGCTGCAGACTGTCAGAAAATCTCCAATGCTGAGCGTCGTGGTCTACTTTGTGATATGAAGCTCAAATAGGAAATGTCAAAGAAAAAGAAAACGACACTGATTAACTTTAGAATGATCCATTTTCATGCTATCGATTGGTGTAGCTCATTTCTAAGTGGATGTAACATCCACCTCAGTGAGAATAATCAATAACTTATGTTAGCGATATGCTGTTTTGTAATCTTTTGATCTGGTTAAGGATTTCTGTGGTGGTGTCTGTCAGTTTATCACAAATGACTATTATATCATCCAGTAACATTAAAGCCCACAAACTCACATAGGACCAAATTATATTGGTTGAAAGATCTTTTGGAGCTCATTAAACAAAATGATATAGTTTACCTGATACACTGCAGTGATCGCAAAGTCAAACTAGTAGGCCAAGGTTAAATAGCACAAAACCTCAGCAAAACCTGGACTAATAGACCTTAAAGAGTTAGGAAATCTAGAAGATAGCTGAGCTACAGTACTACATGCAGTTACACACAAGCATATAATACGATGGCATAAAGTAACAGCCTTAAAATCTAATGTAGCAGGGTGGTGGGAGAGATTGATAACTGAAGCTTTATTTATCGAAAATAAACTGGGGATACGTGAAACAGGAATGATTCAGTACCTATGCCGGACATTCGGGAAATTCTACTACCTTAAAGACAAATGAAAAGGAAGTATGACAACTATAAAAATCAAGTTTCGAATTTACGTTATTACAAGTGACATAATTATGAACAACAAAACATCTAGTAAGTAACACTGTTTCATGTGTTATTTGTCCGATAAACAAATCAATATGGGATTACATACTACCACAGCGCCTAAGTTTTACAGATATTAAGATATCTATGCGTCAGTATTTTCATCACTTAGATGAAAACAATACAACTTGGTCAAATACCCAGAAAGATAAAGTATCACAATGGATTATTTTACTTACACAAATGATTTTGCTCTGAATCTATTGTTCTTACTTCATCTTCATTAAAAGATGAGCTACAGTTATCATGCGGTTCTGCATCTTTATTATATGCAGTTTCTTGAATATTTGAGCTTTTGGTGAGATCCTTGTTTAAATAAAACAACCAAACCACATAAATGTAATGAACTGTAGATGTATATAAAACGAAAATTCAACACTTAAACCAGCATAAAAACAATTTTTAGTAAAACCCTAATCTTTAAAAAGACCTGATACTTTTGTAGTATTCCTTAAAAGCCTTTTCTGGATTTGGTTAAAGAAATGGTAAGTTGAGACCGGTTTGTGAGAGTATCCAGTGATTCCGCGATTATCAGATATCACGAACATTATTATTACTACCTCAGAACAAATGTGATTGAATGGATATGATCCGAAATTAGTTTTCATAGATTGACCTTTAACTACTAGTACTATCTTAATAACACAACCTACATATTTTTTATGACTAAATCTTAGTACTATACATATGATAAAGTGTAATTTTGTGTATAATGTTTTTAAGAGAGATCATCGTATTATGCATACAATTTATAATACATAAGACAAGAGAAACTGAATAGCTTTTTTGTATCCATACTTAAGTGTAGACAGCTGTTAGATCCTTTGTGTTAGTTGAACTCCGGATAGTGGAATTACAAACACATTCTTTTAATTCGATTCAAACAAGAACTGAAGCAACATTTTCAAAACGAAAAATTAATTCAAATATTTCCGCATCATTATCCTCTAGTGCATCTAGAAGACTGATATCATCCTATACTTCTGTTAGATTAGAGAATACAAGAATGTGACTACTAACGTTTGTCTATCAGGTAGCGTCAGCTACTCCTACAACCAAGTTTCTTTAGTTGTTACCTCACCAAGATATGTCATCAGGAAAAAGTACTTGAGACTTACATATTGCAAATAATACCTCAGTCAGTCATAACGGTAACTCTAGATCACAGTTTCTAAACAATTTCGGACATGCTTTCTCAAGACTTATAGTGTTCGTCTATTTTCTGCTAATCTTTTGAATAAAGACACCAGTTAAATGAGAGTTCTTTTTTTTCTATATTTTGATATTAGGAAACTATGGAGTGGTTAATGGCTGAACTAACTGATTCTCGAAATTCCCTGCTTTACAAATTGGGGCTTCAATTTTTTACCACTAATCACAATATTATACGTATCAGAATGAATTTTTCATTACTCAAAAGATAAATTCATATCCTTTTCACACTTTAGCTTTTATTAATCCTATAAAGGTTATTTGTCTTTCCTGAAATACATGAAATATTTGTTATTTATATTTCTAACACTAACCTTTAGACCTGTGATGGATTCCAAAGTAAAAGAGACGGTATTTTGAATAAATATAATCAGAGGATGGAAGTAAAAGAAGTCATTTGTAACGACCAATTATCTTGAACTGTATTTTATAAATCACTGCTGTTTACCGAAAATGAAAGTCATTTTTCAGTAAGCTGCCGGTCGACTTTTGAGACAGTGGTATCCTACTTTGAGTAGAAATTTATCACAACACTATTGTTTAATACTGGAAAACTCGACGAAGGTGTATAATAGTATAGGTTATTTTAATGTCAGCGCTATATGCTGAATCTAGGGAATATTACAAATAACTGATTATGTCTGTTTGGCAGGAGACGGAACTTTTGTTGCTCTCGTAAATTATACCTCATAACCATGAAAGCAGATGAACAGAAGTATTTTCATAATTATAATAGACCTATCTCGATTTTGTAGATGTGGTAATATATGAGATGTTAAAGATTATTGATTACAGTCAAAAATAAAATGATATTTTAAAGAAGCATAAAGAACTGAATTACCTGAATGCTTTTGCATGGCTTTGACAACTGATCCGACATTAAACTATAAAAACAGGATACATATATGCATGAGATATAAGTGAAGATGCACTTCCTTTTCTAATGGCATACTGATTAATGAAATGTTATATTTCAGTCATCCAGTATTTCGTCTCAGACAGTAATTAGTTTAAAGCAATGGGTATGAAATTCATATGAACCTTTTTCACACAACTGCAAGATAATCAAAATATTAGGGAGCAAAACCTATACGACCCTTATGTGGAGCAAGCTCTAATCTTGTTTGGCCTAGCAGTTAGGTCGACCAGTTATTTTAATAATCAAGCGTACATCACTTGGGGTAACCAATATCTTGTGATTATTCCTTAATGTTAGTGCTGAGTGAGTTCTGTCAACCAAATTTGCTGTGGTCAGACAGCTAGGTTATTCATCGTTGCGGCATACTTAGCATTGATGTCAATTGGTTGTAGACAATCGATAGGAAGCCCTAGTGGTCAATCAATACGTGCATTACAGTTCCACAGGAAGTTGGAGCTCTAATAGCTCAGTAGTAATGTCTCTGATTGAAGCACTGCATGAAGTGCGCCCGAATCTCTGAGGGGATATTCACTCCTTAGCAGTTGCAGATATGCCTTGCTGAAAAGTTTTAGAAGGTATCATATCTACTTCCCATGGCGCTACGCCGATTGCTTCCAATTGCCCATGTACCAAGGACCAAACTCATCGTAGAATGAAGACGGTTAATGTTTACTGACTTTTTAAAACAGCAGACCACGATGTTGATTGACGAATCCAGTGGCAAAGATAAACCGAATCTTTAACCAATTATTTTAAGTTTGTGACTCAAAAGACTTGCGTAGATAATACACCTTCCACCTTTTCACTTAACCTCAACGCGGAGTAGTCAACCAACAAAATTCACTTTAACAGTGACATCTAGTTTCCGTGACTTGCGGGTTTCGGTAAGTTATCACATTTGATAGCATAAAGTTCATTACCTTACTTCATTGTTGATGGTAGTGATATTTACACGGTTTGTCTTCCAAAACTAGTAAAATGTCATGAAACTATCACACAAAAACATTTCGAGGACTGTCTAGGGTTACTAGCAGACCGAGATACCGAGTCATACATGCATACAGCAGGAGACAGTAAAAAGAGACAAACAAATGGGAATTATATAATCAGTTTGTAGAATATGTTATGACAAATAAATTAATGTTATGAGAATAAAAAATATAGAACTGCGACATAGAGTAAGAATGCGAATGCAAAACTGCAATCTTAAATTAACAACATCACCAAGTCCTCAACACTCTTTACAGCCACACGAACTGTCAGATTGCATAGTCAAACAAATAGTCAACAAGCTCAGACTTGTACCGTTTCTTAGTTTGGCCGCCCCTCACTTTTGCTAATATAGCAGGTCAAGGTAAAAAAGAGAGGATATCCGAAATACGGAAACTCAGTTTATAACACAACTAATAGAATGATGTTTGCTACCCGATACAATGCCACGTCGAACAAGGCCAAGTGAGCGGCCATGTTTTTATCCTGCATGCACGTAGCAGAAAGACAACACACCTGTTTTGGAATGCAAAGATTTCGACTGAAAAGACTTAATCAGTTCTATTCAGAATACAAAAATAAACAGATTGAAGCGCTACTTCAAGAAAGTGCGATTCATACATGCATGTACTGGTATTGTTAGTGCTAGTTGCAGAGCACAAAACAGGAAGTAGTACAGAATTACTAGGAAACAAAGATGAAAAACAGTGGAAAAGCAACTAGTTGGAAGTTACATAAGACTTGAGAAATAAAGTGGTGTGAAAGACTGATACTTCGTCATTAGTTAATATTGCTGTATAACACTGTGTGGTTTATCAAAATAAAATCTTATCCATAATGGAGTTACACTCAACCACAGTGCCTGTTTTATATTTATATCAATGATACTTCGGGATTTCACAACTTGAGAATTGATATTTTTGAAGGTGAAAGTGAAAACCAATTAATTTTGTGTGAACACACAGTCCACAAACATGAAGATCTTTGAAATGCGGGTGAATTTTAGAGTCCTGACAGTAAGAATGACCACCATTAATTGAAAACACTATGCTCACACCACTCAAGAAGCCTCAAAGATTTCTCATATCCGATTCAGATAGTGAGGATAGTAGACCCTTGTTGCTTGTGTTAATCCTTGCAATATACACCTCTAAAGGAATCTAATATATATTTGAAGGAGTTTGCTGATGGAAAGACATATATTGCAAAGATTAACACAGGTAACAAGGGCCTACTATCCTTATCATCTGAATTTGACCTGAGGAATTTCGCTAAGTTAACAAACCACAAGTATACATTGGCGAAAATTGGAGACGGATATACGCGCACGTAAGACTTTATCAGGCTTCATACTGTAGTTAATATGTAGTTTGAAAAGAAGTAAGTGGACGTATACGTCCACTACAGCTTCAAATTATTTCCTGTCTATTTTATAGCTAATAAGCCCTGAGGTTCTCATAACACTCTAGAATACCATGGATTAAACAGCTTTAAGGACCAATACACATAAACATTAGGATATATTGCTGGAAAACTCTTGCTGGATTTGCTATACGGATTACCAGGGTTGCTGTAAGGACAACTGTTCCTCATAACTCCCTCCACTTGAACTGAAAACAGACAAAAATATCTGCAAATAATCTATGTGGTTGTGTAACAATTAAGTTGCGTACGACACTGGTTTGTCAAGAGAATGTGAATACCATTCGACCTAATTTTCACATGAATAAAGATTATGCAGAACTCAACGTAAAATGAGAAGAAATTCGTCGAGACGCTACTACAGCAACAGTATGCACTCGAAAAGATAGAGCAGACTGACCTGCACTTTTCTAATGAGGTTTTAATATTAATGGTGCAATTTCACATTTTAGCTCATCGACAAATAGGACTTTATGTTGGAAAGTACTTTAAACATCAGACGAAAATTTTGTATTAGAATGGACATGAAAGAATTCAAATAATATAAGACATAAATACTGATGGACAAACACAGAAGCCATCATATGCTTTTGTCAGTTGATAAACTTGGAGGATACAAACCGTTTGATAATAAGTGGGATTCAAAACGAGGAAAGGTCTGACAAAGAGCCCTCACTTTATTTTGCAATGTTGATAATTTCTGCCAAAACCATAATATGATAGCAGTTTTAAAAGAACGTATTATTCACACGAGGACAGGCTGGGCAGTCTGTAGATAGAGGATAGCGGCACAAATGGCTTACGGAGAGGCTGAGCACTTGAAGGTCACTTACGCACACTGTGATTGGTAGATTTTCCTTTGCGTAAACGTTGCGGCTAATGCGTGCCTTACGTTACTGAGGCGGGCTTTGAAATAGCAATAATAAAAGCGGATAGACATTATATTTTTTAGCTTAAGGGAACAAGTTAACATGCTTATAAATTTCACAGATGTGAGAAGCATTAGATCCACTAACAAGGAGAATACTACTGGGTAACTTAATCAAAGAAGTACAAAGTTTGAAGATTTTATCTCTTTTAGTTAGTTGTAACGGATGGATAAGAGTCACTTGTATAATATTTGCTTTTTATAGAAGAGAAAGTGTGACAGGTGATTTGGAAGTTACACGATTCCTGAAATCTATCGTGGAATATATGGACGACTAATCTATAGAATTTCAACTCTGTGGTTGTTCCTTGCCTTGTTCACATATTCACTGTGGCTAAGATTAGGAATTGTTCACCAAAGGTAAGATTAATTTACCTGATATGTATACATCTTCATATATTTCTCAATACGGCCGAAGGCATTCGAAGGAAGACAATCTCAATCTCTGCTTGGAAAGTTCACATCCAGTTTCTGCGAACGGAACTGGTGGTGACGAAAACTGCAAAGACTGGTTCAACACCACTAACAACGGAGGCAAACTGACACAGATGTTGCGGATAGAGTGTTTGGTGGACTTTATGATGACTATGATGCAGCTATAAAAAACTCTACAACTGCGATTTTTTCACTGGATTGTTATTAACTCTTTTTATTGTATATGTGTACTCTTTTATTCTGAGTCATTTTCAACTTGATTGATTATTGTTTCCTTACAAATATATGCATTTATGTCGACTAACTTTGTCTCTTTTACTTATTTTGAGGACATTGCAGAGTTAACGAGAATGATAGGCAACGTATTAATACTTATGTGAAATGAGTCAGTCTTAAACTATCATTACTTCCTCAATGCGTCATCAAGCCTTGTGTAAAGTGTTTCAGTTGCGTTTAAGATTAATATTCAAGATTGTTAAGAAAGTAGCCGTCAAACATGTGCTCGTACTGTAGTAACGAAACATAACCTAGCAAACGTAGGTTCTATGTGCACACGACTTGTATTAGTAGTCTAGGCACTTCAAGTACACAATGCAACGTATATCCCATTTATCACAAATACTCTGTTATTATTATGTTGCGTTTAACACCACTATCTCAAAGGGTATCATTAGGTAATAAAGAGAAAACTACATTACTCTTCTTGTGTTATCATTTCGTATCAAAAGGCTCTTACATGATCACACCAACACTTAGACTCGGGCATTAGTTGACTACGTCACTAAACTTCGTTGATTATTTTGTTATCATGAAATACTGTGACGCATTAAATAGGCTTTTGTTGTGCATAACGTCTATTTAAGATTTACTAGCGAAAGCAATTACTCAAAAGCGATAACAGTACCCCATCGTGACCAAATTCGGCAACGTGTGAATATGCCATTTTACGAATATTACGTCTTCTACACTGGCATCACTTTGCAACTCGTCAAACACTAAGTATTAATAAAGCAGAATTTTTACAACAACATTTATTTCGGTAAATACATTAGTGATATCTCAAATATTTCATCATTTACACAAATACTATCGTTTTTAATCCCAATTAGAATGTCTGAATGTATTGAGTGATTGCGGGATTGAAGACCGTAATCTGGAAATTAAAAATAAAAATTCAGTCAAGATGTGATGAGTAAAATAAATAAACATATAATAAAGTTAAATGACTATGTCTTCACCGTTATCTGACGAAATAACCAACTCAATTTCCTTTATTACTGTGCAATTTGGTAAAAATCATGAAATTATAATTACCTCGATATTAAACCCCCTTCTCATCATATACGTTAAAAATTAACTTCAAAAATTAGAATAATTTAGCATTTTCTATCATAATTGACATTTTCCAATGAATTATTTCATTTCTTATGCACATCGGGATGTCAATTCGATGAAAAGACAGCATTTCCTCAACACAATGAAACCGATTATTTTTCTCACTTTTTACACGTTTTTTCGTTAAAATCTGATGTTTAAAATGCATTTCTGTCGAAAAAACCACTAAAAACAACGCAGAATAACCCAAACACAACACCACGATAACACCTTAAAAATGCAACAATCAGCTGATTTGTGCCTCTATCCTCTACCCAGTCTGTAGGGGTGAGGATATACGTTATAACGTATGGCACACCTGCTAGCTACTAATCAACAGATAGCTGATACTCATTTTAAGTACTCTGACATTAAGTACTCTGCCATTGCCTGTAGTATATTTACAACCTTAAGATTTGAAATAACTTGCGAAAAACAAACCCTCAACGCAATATAATGCAAATAATACTTTTTCTATGCGAACTTTCTTCAAAAGGATGACTTCTTCATTGATAATCCGTCCGAGCTATAATATACAATTTTACGCTTTACTATGAACAAAATAATGCCGTGTGGCTCCAGAAGTCTAAAACTAGTCAAATATGATCTATTTCCCAAAAAATAGGCGATTATAGCGCCTGTAGCCGTGAACGCGGTAACCGATGCCGCTGCGCGATAACACCTGGTTATAGCATATATCCTCACACAGTCTGTAGACGGCCGTTATTTTGAGTAACCGCGAATGAGATAAACAAACGATTCGCTCGCTTCTGATTGGCCAGTTTGTCATTCGAGTTGAGGTAATTTCAAACATCATTTTGCTGCTTGGTTAAGTCCTGAATTTCCGTGAGCGTTTTATCAAATTGGAGAGATAACTGACAACACAAATTATTACAGCTCAGGAAAGAAATGATATAGCAGTGGATTTATTTGCTGAATTCAACGAATTCATGCCAAATTACGATCTAAGGACTTCTCAGGAGCGTCAAGAATGCAAACAATGTCCTGAAGAGGTAATAACTTCACGCAACTTCAATTATCGCTTGACCATTATTTTCAGAGATCCTTAAATAAGTATAATATACACAGTGGTCTGGCTAATCATGATAAAAACGGCATGGTTGATGCAGCATATACATATACTCATGTATATGTAGGTAAACCTAGATAAACTGTGTTCTTGTCACGAAGATCGGAAAGCAGGTACCAGATGTCTTAGTAAGCAGTGTAATACATGTAAGCTACATGTTTTTATTTGACATAAACTGGATTTCCATTCACTTTCAGAATTAATCTTAAATTCAGTTGGAATAAGCCAGTTGCACATCAATATTGAGAAAATACAGTGAAAGCAAGTAAACACATGCTTCTTAAGATTAAGTGATACATTTATTTGATATGATTGTATTATTATTAGTTTTCTATCTAATTAATGATGAATTCGTTGCGATAATAATACCTATTATTGTTTTTATAGTCACTATGAACATGAACATTATTATTATTGCTATCAAGACCTATTATTTGTCATAAAGTGGTTGTCATTTTTGCTAAAATATTTGTACAAGCTTTGGAAACTGCTGCATAAGTGGTTGTTAGATAATTTTATCATTTCATGATGCTTCAATGGACCTACTGGATATCGACCAACGATAAGTTGCGTAGTCCCTTAAGTTTAGTGAAAACTATTGTACTACTTATATATATATATTGTTTGTAAAGTGATTACTTGTATATGCTTATCAGGAAAATTTTTTTATTCAGATCATACATGTAATGCCCAAGTTAATTATGCTTTTCTTAAACCTTTTCAGACTTATGGAAAAATATATATGTACTGTGCACGCAGATGGAACTTACTGACGGTAACAGAGGACTACTCATCTGAATTATCTGTACATTTGAAATCTGATTTTTGTTTAATAAACAATTTTTCAATGAATCTGTGTTCCTTCTGTTGTAATGCGATTGTGTTCCAGTAACATGAGTAGCACGTGCTAAGTTAGAAGTTGACGGTAAACTGTTAGGAGTAAATGCGGCGTCTGGAAAATTTTGTTTACGTGATTATATGAGCAGATAGCAACGTATCGTGTTCTTTGGCTGAGAACCCTAGGCATTCTGTTTTTAATTATTACGATGACCGTAGTTGCACTGAGTCATACATCTAACAGCATAGGTATAGTCTCTCCTTATGGTACTGCGGTATACTCCCTTCAATTGTTCAATACATTTTCTTTCGTATTATTTGGCTGACTTGAACATATCTACTACTGCACTACATATTTTCATAGTCAATCTGTTCATTTTGGAGTGACTTCAATTTTAAGACTCTTGGCGTTTGTTCAAACAAAGGGTTTTAATCTCACAATTTCTGGATGAAATTTGTTGCGACATAACCAGACAGAGTCATCAGTAATATTCGGCTTCGATCTACCTGTGTTTAAAGATTGGATACTCGTCTGCGATACTTTAATTGTCTAAAAATCAGTCGAGAGTGGCTTATGAAATGGTTGTATTCTCCGACCTAACACTGTAGTTTAAAGCCATTTGTGGTTAATCTGCCTCGTTCGAATTCTGTGGATCATAATAAATTCAAGAAAGCTCAATGTGTTGATAACATCAGGTGAGCTTCATAAGAATGCATGTCAAACCGAATTTTTTAAATTGATGTTTGGCAACATTTTGAGGTGACGCTCACTTATCTTCATTTCAGTTGGTCGAATACCAAACAATAAGTGTCAGCCAAGTCTCGTAAACCGTTAATGACCAGCTCTTGCTACGCTCGGGCCCACGCTGTTCCTTGAAGTTTCTCAGAAACGCTTAGTAATAACGGACGAAAAAACCAAAACATCGATCTGCCGTTTGATATTTCTTTATTGTAACACCAACATATAAAAAATAATTCCACTAAGGACTGTGAACAAATATTACAATAATAAATCACAATATTACTTCTGACGGTT